GGTTGCTCAGGAAAAAAATGGCATTTTCTCCTGTCACCTGAATGCTACCATTTCTGACAACAGCCACCTGTTTTCTGCGCTTCAGAAAACCCCATCAAGTGTGAAAGCCCTGGGGGGATCTGTTCCCTCACCACCTCCAATAACCCCAGCCACCAGCACAGCAGCTCAGCCCCAACAGGAGAGGGGAGCGAGGACAGAGAGCCTGGAAATGGGAGAATTCCAGGGAAATAACTGAAGTTAAGAGCTGGGCTCTGCAGGCAGCCTGTCACTGTTAGGCTGGACGTGACATACACACACGTGATTAGGGTGTAAGAAGAAAAAGTTTTTATATTCTGCATGATCTCTAGCTTATATACTCTTAACAAAGTGTGATTTTAAGTCATTAATTTAACTACATCACAAAAAATTATATTTATTGGTGCAAAGCACTTAATGTCAATATAATTGGCAAAAGTTTTACAGAAATTTAATGAGGCACGAATACACATCTATTTATGTATGTAGCTTAGCTTACCAAAATGTTTATGTATCTTTTCTAATCTGTTTCTATGCTGACGGCTTTGTCTTCTTTGTTATGGACACACTTGAAAATCATCAATTGTTATTTGTTCTCTTAACTCAGCTTTGCTTGCAGGCCAGCTCAGGCCCCTCCATGGCAGCAGCAGAGTTATCCTTCCCCAGAGCAGCTGCACGCCTCACTGAGGAGCGGCACTGCAAGCACAGCTTCATCCTGGAGTTGTGCTGATGACATTCTTCCCTAATGAGCTTGTCTGCCTCTGATCTCACCCTCGTGTTTAATTTGTGCCTCCTGAAATCCTCCTTTGCAGCTCCTCTCATGGAAAGGGGTGTCAGGAGCTGCTGAGCTCCAGCCTGGAACAGGGCATCAGTCACTGAATAAATCAGATAATCTGTGCAGCTCTTTTGAGGGTGTGCAGGTAATAACGCTGTCAGTGGAGATACAGAAGTTCTTACTGTTTGAGCTGTGCTTTTATATGAAGAAACTTAAATATTTAACAGATTTTCCAGTCATCTCTTTCTGTGTTCAAGGTGTGCTGTTGCTTTGGCACTTTTTGCAGTGTTCCTGTCCGGGTCCCTTTTTCTGAAATGGAGCATTAGTGACTTTAGGCAACTTTCTCTTCTCGTTAAGCAGCTTCCTGATCCAGATTTCAGGATAATTTGACAAATTATGTGGCTGTGTGGTTCTAGACAGGCAACATCTGGGGTCGTTTTGGTAGTCAGGATTCATTCTCTAAACTTGGACATCCATTTCCACTGACTGAGTCATTGATGATGGAACAACCTGAAGTGTCATGAAACAGAACCAGGGAATGGAACAACCCTTTCTTATTCATTGTTCCCTGTTCTTGGGATGAAAAATAATCCTGCCTATGCTAAATGGCACCCTCTTTCCCCCTTTAGAGGTTTTCCCTTTTATTTTCCTGTCTTTCTTTTTAAACCAGAAATTATACCTGGGATTCACAGTGCAAGAAAGAAACCACCTGAATCTCCTGCCAGGAGACAGACTCTTCCAGGCTCAGGAGCATCGTTCCCTTGGTGTGGCTGACAAGAGCAGCAGATATTTAACTCAGGGGGAGCAGAATGTGTGGCTGGGAGAGCTGAAGTCTGGCCTGGCAGCTGTGATCATGATTCAGTCTGGCAGCTCTGGGACTCTCTCAGTTACACCATGGAGATGAGGTGCCTGCAGGAATTAGAGGAGATTTGGGTTTTGGCACTGCCATCCACAAGGCTCCTCACCTGCTTAATCATTGCCATAAACTACTATGGCTGTTAAAAATGAAGGCATGGGACTAATGTTGAGTTCAGAATGATTTATTGTTTAGATAAATATTAGTTTTAGAGGCTGTGAGATTTTAGAGGAGTAAGTAGTTGGTTATAGTTTAAGAGTACTTACAAGGTTTTTTATTTAATAAGGTAATATATAATTTTTAATATATAGTTATAGGGTTTATTTTGGTTTTTAAACTTATTACTTTTATTTATTTTTGTTGCATTGTGGATACTTTTGTTTAATAAGCTTTTGTTTTACATGTATACATATTTCTATTATAACTTTTAAACTTTCATATATATGAAAGTTGTATATATATGTATGTTTCATATATATATGTTTCATATATATGTAGTTGTAGCTTTTGTTTTACATGTATACATATTTCTATTATAACTTTTAAACTTTCAGTTTATTCTATACAACTACACTCTTACATTATAAACTCTACTATTTCCTTGGTACAGTTTTTCACTGACTTAAGGTATGTTCTTTCTTATAACTATAGAAATATAAGCTTATGGTTTTTTTTCCTTTCATATCTGTGTATTGTATTTTTACATTAATCTAAGTTTCTTCTAAGGTTGCAGATTAAATTTTTCACTTTTTGTGGAAGCTTCTGGTTTTTTTGATTCCCACAAACTGCAATTCTTTTTTTTCAAACATGGCCACTGAATTAGAATGGATACAGTTTACATTTGGAGGTACCCATTTCCTGGCTCTTTTCTCCTCTGGAACAATCTCCTCCCTTCCCCATCCCTTCTGGCTGCTGACTCTGGAACACCAAAAGAAGCCACAGCTTCCTTCAGTCCTCTCCACGTATCCTGCCACAGTGGGGTTTGGTGGCAGCAGAGCATCAGGATGTAGGGATAACTTTAATAAATGTCAAGGTTCATTTGTAAGCACATTTTCCCATCTGATGGTTGATATCAGTTGTTTGGTTTAAAAATTAAAATCTTGGATTTAGACACACTTAAATCTAGAACAACCCAATGTCTCTGTCTTGTACAAAGGCATTGATTTGCTGTCACTTTCACATTAGTTTTATCTTTTCCCCTTTATTGTGCCCCACTCAGTCTCAGGTAAACCACTAACTTGCATCAGCACTCCTACTGTGCTGAAAAATTTCCTTTCATCTTCTGATTGTCTTTATGGATATATTTTATCTACATTTTGCTGTATTTTACATTTTATATTGACACTAATTGAGGTTGTCATTGGCATGCAAGCAATGAACGCCAAGATAAAGCAATGCACTTGTTCTTTGTGAGGTGGATTTTCTCTCACACATTTCCTGCTCAGTCCTCTCTGTTTTCCAGTGGCTGTAGAAGATCTCTCTGGCTGATTACACTTGCTGGGATCTGAAATACCCTCTGGTATTTATAGATTCGGTGATCAAACTATGTCCTTCGCTGCTTAACTCCTCTTAAAAGCAAAGTGACAGGTTTCCAGAGCTTTTATGCAATAACAAATTATTGGGAGAGTTTTTTTCCTGCTTGTTTCCACGGGAATAAGCAACCAGGAGGATCTAGTTCATCATCCTTGCAATGTGCTGCTGAGTGTGCAGAATGAAACCTGTTCTGAGGGGAAACCAGGCCCTGCCCAGCTGGGTGAGAGCTGGAAAAGGCATCCCAGTGCACCCACTTAGTCATCATCCTGGCATGAGTGGAAGTCAGGAGGAAAATAGAGCAGGGGAGGGAATTCCTTCAGTGCTGTAATGAAAGAGAGATGTAATATTACACAGATGACACATTACTGTCACATAGTGCTTTCTCTTTTAAACTTTTCCAAAGGAGAATTATTTTCTTTGGTTACACTGTTGCTGATTCTGCCCTATTTGCTCTTGGGGGAAAAAAAAAAATTTTTGGGGGGAAAAAAAAAAAAAAAAAAAAAAAAAAAAAAAAAAAAAAAAAAAAAAAAAAAAAAAAGTTGAAGAGAGTTTTTCTCATCTGTAGCAATTTAGTCTTGAACTGGATCATCTGGTCCCTACCATGAAGTTTTAGCTGTGATACAGTCTAACAGTGAAATTAATTCTCTCCCTGGTATTTCAATCTAATTCTCTGCAGTCAGCTAAGGTAGCAAAGTGTTTCATTTCTCCTAGATTTCCCTCCAAGCTGGAGGCAAAGCCTTGATTTATTTCTCAGAGTGAACTTTGACAGGGAGAATGGCTGGCAGGGAAGGCACTGTCCCCAGTGCCAGCTGTCAGAGGTCCAAACCATTTCACCAAGTGTTTGTGCTTTGTTTGCTTTCCATACAACCCCAGTTTATAATCTTGTTATTGGTCAGCCTATTTCCCTTTTCTGTAGTTGAAAATTATTATTTCTAGTACAAATATCCATGTTGGCATATGTCAAGAAGTGTATTCTTTTCAATTCTTTATTCTCTGCTTTGAGAAAGAAGTTTAGGCAAAAATATTAATGTGTGATATTAGTGATCATCCTCTGTAGTATAAGCATAGTTGAAATTAAGAGTAAGCAATCAATTCAGGCTCTGAGAGTTGATTTTGTTTAAATGTTCATTAAATTCTTTCATGTCCTACATCCTGTGGGGGCTGCAAGAAATCTGGGTTCAATTCAGCGTGTTTGAGACTTTCTGTGTGAATATGAATTATTTAATGGATGTGAACAATCTTTGTGCTTGTTATCTGGGTCTAAGTGGGGAATAGGCCTGGGGATAAAAGGACTGAGACAAAGATGAAGAAATGTGGATAAAGGGGAAAGGGACTTGTGTTTGGAAACCTTCAATTACATTCAACCCTTCTCCCAGCATCAGAACTGGGTCTGTGAGTTGGACCTTGAGTGCTGCTGGCAGGAGAGACTGTGTCCCAGACTGGCTGTTGTTAATGTTGTAAAGATTGGTTTTGGAGATCTGTGTGTCCCAATCCATATATTCCTGCTTAATCTTAACGCAGGTACCCAGAGCCAGCCTCTCAGCCAAGGCACTCCAGGATGTTTCTCCTCACAGTTTGGTTCATGCAGCTGACCACACACTCAAGACTGGGTGTGGTTGATGTTGTAAAGATTGGTTTTGGAGATCTGTAAGGAGAAATCTGTTTTGGACATCCCATGTGTCCCAACCCAAATACTCCTGTTTAATCTCAACCCAGGTACCCAGAGCCAGCCTCTCAGCCAAGGCATTCCAGGATGTTTCTCCTCGCAGTTTGGTTCATGCAGCTCACCACACACCCTCTCCATCTTCTTCTTTTCCCCAGAATTACGGTTTGGAGACTGAAAACCTGAGAACTCTGTCTCACAAGCTGAATGCCTCAGCCAAAAACCTTCAGAACTTTATAACGGGTAGGAGGAGGAGTGGCCATTACGATGGCAGGGCCTCCAGACGACTGCCAAATGATTTCCTTACCTCTGTAGTTGACCTGATTGGTGCTGCCAAGAACCTACTCGCCTGGCTGGACAGGTAATTAACTGTTCCTCAATCCCTTGTGCATGAGAATAATTCTTTGGGGAGTTTTGTATTTGTTCTTTCTTTGCCTCTTGGACTCTTTCATTTTAATATTAAAATGACAGGTCTGGAATTCTAGCTCTAAATTTTTAGAATTTTGTGAAATATTGGAATCAAAATTTAGTACCCTTCTCTGTCAGGAGAATGTTAAAATTTGCTCTAGATATCTTTTGAGATTCTTTCAGTTGGACTTTGTGTGAATTGAATATTTCTGTGGTATTCTCACTGCCACGACTGGTAATATCAGAAATTTCAGAATGAAGGGCAGGGAAGGAAAGCTTGTGGAGTTTGAGCTGTCTTTCAGCCATCAAAATGACACAGAAAAGCTGGAGTTGAGCAAATCTATTAAGAATGTTCAAAATAAATGATAGTACTTGCTAGTCTGGAAATTAAATGCTCTTATTTATCAGGAGTAGACTGGATGTTTTAGGTACAGGTGTGATGGTTAATGCTCAACAACCAGCATTGGTGTTTTACATTTACCAACTGAGAATTTGATTAAAAGTATCTCTGTGACTGTGCCAATTCAGAAACCAAAACATAAACCAGCATTTTTCTTGTTTGGAACAAAGAAACTTTGGCTTCTTTTCTTTGTAGTTATAGCAGTGAATAGCTTTGTCTGGAATTGGAATGCTCTGGAACATATAAATGGCACCTCAGAAATCACAGTGAGAGTGAATCACCCCCCTTTACAGGATTTGTATAATCCTGGTGACATCTTCCTAACCTAATGCCAGCAGTCATATTCTCTCAGGCTATGACCTTGTCAGCTCTTATAAATTCAAACGGGGTCAGATTCAGCCAGAATTTGGAAAGGCTGAAGAGAATCTGAGTTGCAGGAAGCTGTGACTAAGTAAGCATTACTGTGCTCTCTGAATTAAGTGCTGATTGCTGCTGAGGAGTGATGTCATACCAGAAATGCCATCTTTTTGATAAGCAGTACAAAGAAAATCTTGGCTGCTTATGGTTATTTGAAATCTCCTATTTCTACTCTCCATAAAAATAAGAACTTCTGATGTTCTGGCCAAAATCCAGTTTGCATCCTGCCTGCATTATTTTTGTTTCAAAGGTGTATATTACAAAAGTTGTGCGACTTGCTGGTGGAGATGAAAATGATTTGGCATTTCTGTGTTGTAGAACTCACCCCTGTATTAAATATATCTGCCTGTAGTGTAAATTGTTGTCCCTAATTCTGCATAAACCTGTCCTTGCCCTGTCCCAGGTCTCCGTTTGTCAGCGTGACAGAATATTCACTGCTGAAAAACAACATTGTTCAACTGTGCCTGGAACTAACAACCATTGTGCAACAGGTAGGAGTGGCTCTCTGCTCTGAGGCCTTTCACATCACTGCTTGAAAACTGCAATAGGAAAAATAACTCCAGCTCTAACATCAGCAGAAAAGTTGTTACAGCATTGCCTCCCTGTTCCTTTCATGCTCTCATTTTTTGGGAGGGACAGAAAGATTTCTGGACTTTGGGGATCCTCTTGAATAGATTGAAGGATGGTGTGAAGTTAAAAATAATCCACTTTGCTCTTGAGTGGACAATTTCATGTCAGGTGATTTGCCACCATGCAAGTGAAGAATAAAGCCACAGTGGGAAACAGCTTAACTACTGCTAGCAGGTTATTCCAGATTAAAATATGTGTGATCCAAAATGTTTTGGGGACAAGTTCTTAAAATATATACAAATACATCCAGAACCTGCACTGTGGCTTCTTCACTGAAAGGAGAGCCAGCAACATGAAAGTTTTGTATTGTAATATACAAGTTTTTTATTGTAATATACAAGTCCACAAGCACATAAAAGTCATTTATCTGGTCTTTAGTTCTATGTAATATATAGAATTATAGTATATCCTGTGTTGGAAGAGACCCACCAGAATAATCAATTCCAACTCCTGGCCCAGCACAGACACCCCAAAAATCCCACCCTGTGTCTGAGGGCATTGTCCAAACACTCCTTGAATCAGGCTTGGAGCTGCGACCCCTATAAAAATTAGAATAGAATAGAATTAATATAATACAATATTATAATAACAGTCCCTAGCAATGTCTGCTCCAAAGTGAGACAAGAGGTGACACACAGGTACTGAAAGACTGAGGGTAAATAAATTTTACAAATATTTACAATGAGCTGCTCCCCTTGTGAGCAGATAAAATATTGATGAGACAAAAAGTGTTAGTGCAATATGGGAAGAGGTCAGAGAACAGGCAGGCCTGTCTTGGAATAAAGAAACGGAAAAAGATGAGAGGGTTGAAGGAGGGAAAGCATGAAGAAAGCTTAGCTTAAGCTCCAGTTTAAAGGGGCTTTAGGCTGGGCCTGTCTCCAGTGCAGAGGACTCCCCTGCCTCCCTCTGTCCTCTGCTGCCTCAGATTTCCAGGCACCCTCCCAGCAGGCCAACCACAGAACTCAATTTCAAATGCTTTCTGGAGCAGTAAGGCAGTAGTAGTAGTTCTGAAAACTTTTTTCCCCTCTTCTTTAAGTCTATTTCAGTTCTTGGAGCTAAAGAACTAAGGCTGATAAATATGTCATTGTGTTTTACACTATTATCCTTAATTTATAATAGTCAGCTTTATTCCTCCTGGAAATCTTGTCCTTTATGCATTTTTGCAGCAGAAAACAAAGATCCTTTTTCTCTTTTCTTAGTTTAGAAATTCCTATGTTGGCATTTAATTATTTATGTATCTTTATTAAGCTTTCTCTTACAAGGTGCTTATAGCACCAGGCTATTTTTGATTTACAGACTAAGCAAAATGAACTTCTCTACAGTAGAAAAAGTCCAGATTCTGATTCTGTCCTTCAGCTGATATTGCACTTTGTTTGTGTGAGTTTGATTTTTCCCTGTGGTCCAGGTGAAAATAGAGTAATTTTGAATTGCTGCCTCCACTTCTGTTGTTCATGTCCCAGCTTTTGGCAGATGAGATTCTGTTCTCCTCTGCCAGCAGTAGTTTGGTTCTTTTATTTTTTCCAGTCCTTCAGCTCCAGTCCCACAGCTGTCCTCCTTTTGACAACTTAAAAACAATCTTTTAGCATAAACTCCAAGTCATTCCAAGATGAAAAATGCTTGGTTAGTGCACAGGTTATGCTTTAAAAATGTTTCAGGTTGCAAATCAAGTTTTGTCTTTTCTTTATCTTATTGTCAGATCTGGCTTGTGTGATGGTTGTCTATTAAGTTCTTTTTATGTTATATTAAACTAAGCACCAGAAAGAGCACATAAAACCAAATCAGTCATAGAGGGACAGCTTTGCTGTCACTAAATCTGAGAAAAATTGACCTTAATGTGTGAAAGCAGAAATGTCTCACCTAAACCAGAGTTGCAGGCTCAGCTGTAGGCTGGAATATGAATTGAAAGGCATAACTAATAGAAACCTGGGTCTCAGATCCTTTCAGATGCTCCTTGTTTTATGAATTATATACATTTTAAATACCTCCTTCAGCCAGTGTGAAAGTAGCAGTCAAGGGTACAGATCTGGCACATTAAGTGAGAAATGTCTTTGGCATTTTGTGCAAATTGAACATGGTTTCTGTGCACAACTTGCAGCTGCCACTCCAGGTGAATTTTCTAACAGGGGACATTACCCTGTAACCTTAGTTTAATATAGAAAGTGCTTATGAATCTTCATGCTCAAATGTCCTGTGTGTTCTGAGTGACATTACCTTGAATCAAATTTATTTTAATGTATTATTATTTACATACCATGCAAGTGCTATGATGAATAGTCACTTATTTAACTTTAAACAGCATCTGCTCATGATGGTTAAAAGAAAACCTCATTCTCTAATTTCAGAGGAGATTTACAGCTGTCCATTTCTGTTTGGAAATGTGCTTTTTTCTGCTCATTTTCCTGAACCCTTTTGAGCACCTCCACTAGGTTACTGTCAAAGAATTATGTCATGCACAGAGCTGCAGAAATATCCTGATTTTGAGCTGCAATGTCCCATCAAAATGTGTTTATAATAATATGCAGAAAAGCACATTAAACAGGGTATTGAGGTGTTTGAGCTCTCTGCTGCCTTCAGCCCGAGCTACAGCTCAGTTTCAAGGTGCACTCACTCTCCTCCTCTCTGAAATGGGATCCACCAGAATCACTGAACCAAATGTGGGGCTGGTCATGCTTTAGCACCAAGGCTGCCCTGAGGGTAAGGCAGAGGAACTGGGGAAGGATAGCTTTGGATTTTTGTTCATAAAATGCAGCCATTGGTTAATTTTTCATTGAGTAGAAAGAGTTCCTCAGTCCTAGAGGCAGCTGGGATTCTAATTTTTCTAATTATGTCCAAGATGTTTAAATCTGAGGTAGATGCTTCTGATACACCTGAAGAACAGACTTCCAAAAAAAGTCTTTGTCTTACCAAAGGAGGTCAGCACAACTCAGCCTAACTTTTTCAACAAAAACCAAACAAAATTCTGCTTGTTCTTCCCTTCATTACTGTCTAATTAACCTCACTGAGATACATTCAGACACCCTATAATGGTTTTTGCCCTATTTTTAGCCAAATACTGTGTTTAGAATGCAGCATGGTTTTTCTGCTGTTTTAAAGCCATCTAGTTTGCACTGGAACTGATAGGAATTGTTGTTTCTTAGTAACTTCTGTACTTGGTGTAAATTTTAAACCAGCCTCCCCTGAGAAGGTGGTTAGACCAGATAACCTCCAGAGGCCCCTCCACCTGAATTATCCTGTGATTCAGTAGCTGCCATGCAAAACCTGGGTGTTATTTTCAGTTTGAACTTTGCAGACTTCAGCTTTCAGCCCCTCCATCTTATTTTGCTTGCATTTGCTAAAGAACGTCACATCAAACATCTGTTCACTCTTTTCTAAAAATACACTCTGATCAAATCTCTACCTCTGAACCAAGTAAAATGAGTCAGTTATGTGCATTTGCCATTGTATATTTGCCTAATTCCAGAGTGATCTCTTTCTTTTGAATCCTGAATTTTAGAAGTATTTCATTTCATGCATGCCAGCAATGTATTTTGAAATATCACTTTGTCATATCCACCACTCAAAGGCTGCTGTAGAATTTTCCTGTGGTGTTGTGGTGGAAATGCTCCTTTACAGGGTTTTAGTTTCTTTTCAGTAGTTGACTAAACTCATGCTGTTTTATAGAACTAAGTTAATTAACTCGATATTTCACTCTTTTTTTTATGTTTTAGTTAACTGTCCTCAAGAACTTGCCATAAAACACTCTTTATGTGCAAAATTTTGTGGTACTTGCATTTTTTCCTTCTTTCAGAATTAGAAATTGGAATTTTGTCTAGCATGTGGGTGAGCACAAGTCCCACTGACCTTTTCTCTTTATGAATATGCAGTGGAGCAGTTTCACTTTATCAGAGACAAAGGTGGGCTGCACCTTTCAATTTTGAATATTCAGGACAGTGCAGTCCTTGCCTGGTTTGTAACACTGCTCCTGTGAATGGTTTTGTAATTCCTGGGGTTTATCCTCTTACAGAGGGGAAATAGAACACAGCTACTAATTTAAAGGTTTTTTTAAACTTTAAGAATAAATATTTTTATCATGTCATCTTGCTACTGGAGAACATAGAAAGAATGTGACTATAACTATTATTTATTTTCTAAGAAAAATACATCAACATCCTAAAAGTGGTAGTCCTGGAAGATTATTTTTTTAATGAGATCCCTAGTGCATTGCTATGTATCAGAGAAAAATAATCAGAGGGATATTGTGACCTACATATCTTAATATTTCAGTGTAACACTGCAAGTGCTTTTAACCTCTCAGTTAAACTAGTCTGATGTATTTTAAAAAGAAGTCAATATGCATCTATTTTGGAAGGAATCCCAAAGCCATTAACATTTTTCATGCTAATGTAATCTTGAATGTGCAACATAAGTACAGCTAACATTAATTCTGCTCTACAAAACAGTAAAATTTCAGTTTTACTGTACATAAGTCTTCTATTCTTTGACCTGAAGTAATTAAGTTTGTTCAGAGGGAGGTTCATATTGTATTTCTAGCACAGAAATTAAAGGAATCATTTAGACAGGAACATTAGCTCTGGAGCCAAGCTGGAAGCCCTGCTGTGATCATTTTGTTCTCTTGGTACGTGGAGGGTTAAAAGGAGATGGTGGATGAGCTGTTTGAAGTGTGCAAAACTTGTAAGGAAAACTGCCTTGGGCATTGCCAGCCAAACTGACTAATTGAATTTTTTTTTTGTGCTCTAGAAAATAACAGTATGAATACAGAGGAAACATCAAAGGGATACTTGACCATGAAATGCTAATATAAATTCTTCTGTGCTGCTTGGTACTCCCAATCTTCTGATTTTGACTTTCTTATTCTGTAGCAATATTCTATAAACTGTAGTCACTTAGAAACTAATTGCTCCACAGGAGTAACAATACTCCAAAATAAATATTGACCTTGAGAGCTGAGGGAGGGGCAGTTCCTTGGGCTGAGGGTTTGGAGGAGCTGCCTCAGATGGGCTCAGGGAAAAATCCTCGAAGGGACACCAAGGGACAAGGTTTGGGAGCTGGATGGGAGCAGCCAAGGGTCTGGGCTGCTGGAAAAGGGGAGCAGAGAGCTCCAGAGGGTGTCCCAGCCCAAACTGAGCATGCAGGGTACAGGGAATGAGGGGGTTGGAATCGTTCTGAGCGAGATCTGAAGCAATTAATTCTTACTGCTAATATATTAAGATGCAGTAAAAAGAGGACATCTTGAAAACTACAGGGAGTCTTAAACTGCTTGAAGGGAATCACAGAATATTCTGAGCTGGAAGGGACCCACATATCAAGCCCAACTCTTAAGATAAAACCCTCAGCCTTGGTGTTGCCATCACCAGGCTCCGACCAACTGAGGGAATCTTAAGTTACTTGAAGGGACCTTTCAGGTATTATCAGTAAGTTAAATTTTACTTGGACATTTATTCAAGGAAAAAAACTAAATAAAGAAGACTGGTTTTTATAATTATCCCATATAAATGATCCCATATCCATTAGTGTAGAAAGCCTTTTCCAACATGGAAGAGCACTTGGAGAAGGATTTAACAATTTCCCAACACGATAAGGGAGAGGGAGCCTGGCTAGGGCTGTGCTCAGAGGGAACCAAGGCTTGGGGAGACCCTCTTCTAATCTCACTCTGCTTGGAATTGATATTTTAATGTATTTTCCTTTTTATTTTCTGTTTTAGCAGACTACAACCTGAGATTTGGAGTGGCAGGAGGAGGTGGGGCAGAGCTGCAGGGGATGGGTCAAACCCTTTTGCCACGGCTGTGTCTCCATTTCCAGAGGGTCACACTGAGGGAAATTTCAAACATTAATAAGTCATAGAGACAGTTTAGCAATTTGTATGCTTTGTTTCATGAAAGAAAAACAATATTTCAACCCCTGTAATAACACTAAAGCAAAAAGCAAGGTAAGGGTGACACTGAAATGATGGAGTGTAAGATTGATATTCTTAAAATGACAGCTAAAATAGGAAAATGACCACTCCAAAAGTAACAATTCTTAAGGTTCATCAGGAATATGTAAGATTATTACCAGCATAAAACCTTCTTTGACTTCTTAATAGGAAATTTAATGTGACATTCATTTAATTGGTTTTGTTCTGTTTTACCACAGGATTGTACGGTGTATGAAACAGAAAATAAAATTCTTCATGTGGTAAGTAATTCTGCTTTGGTATTCTCTATTTTTACCCCACATATAGAAATTATTTTTTCAAAAAATAAGGCTGCTATGGCATAATACTTACTCCTAAGAGTTCCTTACTCTTTGGCATAATTTCTGATTAATTATATCAGTTGCTAAAAATTAAAGCTCCCCACAGAAATGCTCTCTGTTATAGCTACAGTTAATTACAAATACAAAATCATGGATTTAGGTTTAGAAGGTGCACAATATTCTGTATATGAATATTCCTACCAGAATGGTTGGTCAGATCCATGGTCCTACTGTGTCACTGGTTGTCACACTGAGCATTTTGTGCCTTCAAAACTCAAAAAAATCTGATGACAAAGGGGAGTGGAAAAATCTTATTCAAGATTATTGATTAGATATTGGCCTTTAAGTTCAAATACTTTATATTTTTCTGGTACCAACACAGAAACCTGTACTGACACTGAGATAAAGCCTGTGGTGAAAGAAACTCTCAAAGGATTTACAAGTTCAGATAAGCTTTTGACAAGCTCTGCCCAAGTGCCTGACTCTTTTTCTTCTTTTTTTAAAGCCTTTTGCACATACTCTGCTTCCAGCAGGGATTAAAATCTGTCATAAAACATTGATGTGCTGTTAAATTTAGAAAGCGTGCAGTGACTTTTAGAGGGGAAAAAAAAAAGCTTACTATAGCAAACCTGGGTATGAATAGAACTTTTAAAAGCACCTGATACCTTCTGGGATTTGGGGTGTGTACACACACACACACATTTTTATCTTTTTTTATAGTTATTTATTTTTATTTATTTATTTATTTTCACCTTTTAGCCCACAGTTCTGACTGTGGCAGGGACAACTTCCATAGACCAGGTTGATTTGATTGAAAACTTCTTTTTTGTTTATTTTACTAAAGGAAAAAGTATTTCCATGAGGCAACTCTAAGGTTAAAGCATTACAGCAGAAAGTAGAAAGTGTTGTTCTCCCTGAGGTTTAGTCTGCATCTAATTTGGGAAAATGCTCTCAAGTGTTGAGGCATAGAGAGGTTTTCTGTTGGAAATGTTGTCAATATCTTGACATGCCAGTGGTTCAAAATGTGGATAAAAAATGTACTCACACACAGGGACACCCACTACACTGGAGATTTTTGAGATTTCTGAGTTTCTCCATCCCTGCTGGGAGAAGATGAGACCCAAACTCTGCTCAGGGGTTCTGGCCCCGAGCTGAAACTGCTTGAAAAATTTGTGGAAATGGTGACCTTTAGCTGCAGCCACCTCAGTGGGATGCTTTGCATCTTGCAGCTGATAGAAAATCCAGATGCCACAGCCCAGGCTCTGTCCTTGGATTTCCAGATGAGTAACTGCACAGTGAATGGAAATCTAAACTACACGTTTGGGCAGTTAACTTATTCATTGTGACAACTTTATTTGTTTAACTTCTGTGGATAGTGTCAAATGAGATATTAGAAAGCCTCATGGTTTTGCAAATGCCTGAAACAAAACTTCCCTGAAGGGATTTCACTGGAATTTGCTATAATTAGGAAAAATGAGAGTACAGTCCCCAAAGCAAAATAGAGGCACACAGCACAGCCTTGACCAGAAACCCATCCTGAAATTCTGTTAAATGAATTCTTTCACATCAGGTTCAAACACTTTCAGGCACAAGCTTCTTGAAGGAGTGTGCTTTAAGCAACACACAGAAATTTGGCAATAAATCTTTCCACATGAGTGTTGTCTGAGGGTTCAGCTCAGCTCTCCCCTGACCTGCACACTTTGCTTTGACAGATGGGTTTAATCTGCCAGACCCACTGCTCCTGTCCATGCAGTGGGGCTTCTGCTTTGAAGGTCTTTCTGTGCATTTGCATTAAGATTTTGAGACCTTTAGCTGGAAGGCAGGATAGCAAAATCATTGCATAGTTGTGGTGATGTAGAATATCAGCTAAAGGATGTGTTCAAAGATGCATAAGAATTTTACTGCAGGAAATGGGTTAACTAAGACACTTCTCTGCCAGGGTAATTTTTAACAAAGGAAATTTTCCAAGTTGAAGAGCAGAATTCACCTAATTATCACAGTTGGTAGGGATGATGTCATCATTTGGTAGCCAAAATAGGTTATTCAGTTGCATAAGACATTTATTTTGACATATTTCACTCAACTCCCATTGTATTTATAATCATAAGGATAAAGTCCATTGGGTTTGTTCTTTTATTTTTAAAGTGCGCATGGAGTGGAGAAGATTAGAGATACAGATATTCTTCTACAGCAGAACTGTACATGAATGTACATTTTCTTGACATTTATGGATATTTTCTGTTCCTTTAACCACTTGCCCTTGACTTTCATACACCTGTAATTCTTACAGCACTAAGAAGTAAAATTATCTGTTTATTCTTGGTTACTTCTTAGAATAAGAACTTCTTCACTTGTAGTTCCAGTTGGATATGAGGGATTCTATTAACTTGTTTTCCTTTGCAGTGTAAAACCCTGTCTGGGATCTGTGACCACATCATTTCCCTCTCCTCTGACTCTCTGGTGTCCCAGTCTGCTCATCTCGAGGTCGTTCATCTCACCAGCATCATGCCCAGTGAGGGGTTGGTAAGTAGCAAAGCAGTTTCAAGTTTAGGTCTTGGAATGTTCAGCACATGCCTCAGTTCTTTGGAGTGATTTGGTTTTTGAATTTATCAAGAAATCAAAATGTATTTTCATGCAATGTCCTAATTTTTTTGGTAAACTGAATCAGATTTCTGAAGGTGGTTTGATTGAATTTATCTAAAAAAAGGGGTTGTTTGGGTTTTTTTCAAATTAAAACTTGTTTTACCTAGGGCTTCACCTGTAACTGTATGAGTGTTAAATCTGTGATCCTTCGACAGCCAGATTGCAGTTTTTGGAATGTACTGAAATAATCCCCAAATGCAAACATATACAAATGAAATTAACTAATGTCATTCATGTGCTTTCAAAATGATGAGTGGAAAGTCTGTGCCTTGGACTCGCATAAATAGAATTATATGCCTCCCTAATGATCAGTTCAAATAAAACTTTCAGAAGTATCATCCCAGGAACAAAATAAATCTTTTTTTATTTGTAAATTGCTGCTCACTGAGCAGCCTGGTTGGATGGCTCTGGACATCCCAGCTGCTCTGCATTGGTGGTGGGTCACAGCAGTGAAATGTTCTGCAGTTACAGTTTCAGAATTATTTGGCTACAGCTTTCAAATATTAATGTACATTTTTTGGGACAATAGATTTTTGTGACATTTTAGTGGTTGGTGGGTAAAGATTTCTGCCTCCCCTCTGCAGTCCCTTACTTTGCAGCCATTTGATGTTGGTGGGCTGTAGGAACATAAGGATTGTGCTTGGGAACCCAAGACCCCAATAAAAGCTGGAGTGGAGGGTGGCACTGCAGGCACTGGGGACTTCTCACTTGCCCCCCTCAAGAGCCAGGCTGCTTTTCCCAGCACAATCTCCTAAACTGCCTCCAGCTGCCTTCTCAGAATCCTCTTTATTTTTATTTTCTCCCTACAAGAAGAGTAATTCAGGAATGTTGCTTCTGGCTTGAAGGAAGCAGTCGTAGGAGGAAAATAAGGGGGAAGTGGGGAGTGAAATTGGCATCCATGCAGCTTTATCCACAGAAAATCCCCGAACTGGCAAATCAAAACCCACTTGAGTGCCACTCCACACCTTGTGACATGTTTCCTGTTTGTAATTCAGCGCGATTTACAGATTTTACATTTCTGTTAGTTGAGACACTTTGTATTATTTCAACATCTTCCTCTTTGTTCTGACATTGAATAGCGACAAACGTCATATGCAAATGCTGTCAGAGTTACAAGGGCATAATTACTCTGAGGTATGCATATTAATCTGAGAATGACATATTTTAATAACATGAGGGGGTGTTGTGTGACTGCACAAGTTTACTTTATTCTTAGGCTGATTTAGTCAACAAAGAACATTACCACAGCACAAAGAACATTCAATTTTGGTTCCGTGGCATCGCAGATGCTCAGCCCAGTGTGTAATCCTGAGCACAGATACAGTTCCCTTGCTGTGCTGCTGCATCCTTATGGCCAAACATGTTCCCTTTATGGCCCAATTTCCCCTCTAGGTCTGATTTCTGGGTTAGTGCAGGGTGCCCAGGAAATACAGGTCAGTGCATTTGCAGGAGTTACGCTGTGAATATCCCGGTGCTTTTGACTTGCATTAGGATTCCTACACCCTGCAGGCCAGCACTCTGCATGGCTTTCCTTTCTATGCAGAAATAGGATGTATTTCTGCTGGTCTAATTAGGGGAAAGTTCATTGTCAGTGCTGCAGAGAAGTTGAGCACAGAACACTGAACATTTTCCTCAGAGATGATGGAGCACCATGAGCAGAGCTTGGTGTTGCTGATGCTTCCCATGCAGTGATGGCTCTGGATCAGGCTGGTGGAGGACAGGAGTGGAATCTACCCCAAAAATAGCATTTCCTGTGGGGGACTGAGATTTCCTGGTGTGCAGGCTGAGGCAGGTGTCTGTCAGGAGCTCTTGGCAGGAGCTGCCCATGAGGAGCTGGGTGTCATTTGAGCTGTGCAGTGACCAAGGTGAGAGCTGGTGGCTGAGATGCTGGGGCCTTTCCTGTGGTTCACATTCCCTTTTTTCCTGGTAGAACTTGAGGATCTGTGCTGGAATGATCCTGGCTGGATGGACAGGGGCTGGAAGAACCCCTGTGTGGTTCTCCATCCACAATGTGCCCGTGAGTTAAGAGCCAACAAAAGAGCAGGGAGTGGGCACTGCTGACAGGGGACAGGACACAAATACTGCAATCAAACTGCCTGGCAATTTCTCCCTTTTTTCCCCCCCTTTTTCCCTTAGATGAAGTGAAATCACAGTGAATGAGTGAGTTTTCTGTGCCTAATTGTGAAGGCACTGTAACATGTTAGGTTGGAAAGTTCCTTATAATCAATTTTGCTGACACTGTGTTCTGTTTAGAAGAAAATATGAAAAAGGACTATAAATGGGAATAAAAGAAAAATCATGTGAAAAGGAAAAGAAAACATTAATCAGAATCAAATATAGAACAGAGTAATGAATTACAAATGGCTTTCTCATGATTGTATAGAGGATTTTTTTCCACAGGATATCTGCTCCATTCAAGAGAGAAATGAGCACTATTCAGTGAATGGAAAGTATTCAGAGTTCCATTTTTATCCTTATCATTCAGTCTAGGGGTTGAGGCCTGATTTACCACACTCCAGCTAAGCTCTGCAGTCCCTGGAGTTATTAATTTCTTCGTGAGTTGTTTTATTTATTTTTTATATGGCCTTCCTGAGTGCTTCACAGACACTAATTAATTCATCCTCACAACACACTTGTGAAAAGGATACTGTAATTTTAGTTTTAGAGGTAGGAAGCTAATGCACAGCAGTTGGTGTCAAAATCACTAAAAATGTGTTTTTCAAGAGCAGTTTAATGTACACATTTTCAGAACATTTTCAGAGCATAAATTTAAAACACAGGCTCTCTTGGGTTTAAATGTAGCTCTAATTTTCAGAGCTACTGAGAACAGGGTTCATCCAGGGTTGGCACCTAGAAAACAAACACAATTATTTGTCTTTGGAGAAAAGTGTGTTGTATTGCAAACCCCTCAGATTTATGAAAGAATTCAGTTATCTGGAATGATATTCAGCTGACTAAATTTTGCGTCTTCCCAAGTTTTCAAAACTCCTTTGGCAAAATTTTTATTACGTGTCTTCTAATGTCTTCCCCGACTGAGCCAGGAATCCTATTGACATTGCACAAGCTCCCACATAAATGGGATTAATTTCCAGGTCCAGGTCCATGCAGTTTCTGCACGGAGTCAGAGCTCCTGCAGGGCACTGTCTGTGTGTTTAATTGTGTAAATAAATCCTGGATCATAAAGCATTTTCACAAAAGGGACTCTGAGTCTTTGGAATGTGCATCTTCAGTTCTAGCATTTTCGAACTTCCTCTCTGGGCTTTGATGAGCTTTATGTATTTTTTTTTTTCCCCCTCTCTAAAATACCTTCTTTGCATTCAGCTTTGTTAAAGCCTGGCCTTATCTGCAGCCTTCCCAGGACACTCTGTGTGCTGTGCTTTCCTGGCACTTTGCTGGACAAAGGAATTTGCATTGGGAACACTCGGTTTGGGGTCTGTTCCAGGTCCTGGGGACTCTGTTTGCATCCTGATCTCTGCAGGCATTTGTTGGCCTCCAGAATATATTGGCTTTTTTTCCTTTCTTTATCCATTCCTTCCCCTGCTTCACTGGTCAAATTGGTTCCTCCTTTTCCCTATTTTTCAGCTGATTTTTCAGTGGAAAATACTGAAACACACTCCATGTATTTTCTATTTCATTTTAAGGTAACTTCAAGGATTGTAAAGCACTTTTTCTCCTGAATGGTAGTACTGGGTATGGTAATACCATTAATATCTGAAGTGCACAACATAATCAGCACGAACAAGATGTCTGGAAGGCAAAGCTTTGTTTCAAACAATCAATTTGACAAACTTCAAATAAATTCCTGCACTAAGAAAGTATTAAATTGTGAGAATCACCGTTAGCTCTGGCAGAACATGCAGACATAAATTTTTAGGAAATCGAATAGAATAAAATAACTTTGTGATTTAAGAAAATTGCCTCCTCACTTTAAATTTTTTGGCTTGATGGATCCACAATAAGCCCTTGAGCCAGGAGTTTGGGTTGCTGTTGGCAGCTCCTGAGCTTGCTGCTAAATCCTTGGGGATGAAAGTTGATGAAAGGCTGGAGAACCTTGCTATGATTTATCTCCTTCTGTGCCCAGAGCCAGCTTTGGAGCAGTTTTGCTGTCACATAAACAGGCAGCATTTTATTGGAAATTTTATAGAGATACAGAATGGGATCATAGAATGCTTTTTGAGGTTTGGGCCTTTTTTCCCCCCTCCTGCTCTTGGGTGATTGGGGATTGTCCACAGTGAGAGATTATTACAGTGAGTATTATTTCAGATAAAACTTTTCTTTTTAATCTTCTGAACTTGATGTCCAGCTCATATACCCAGAGACCCTTCTGTGTAAGATGCAGCTTTAATCTTATTTGATGAGATTAATGATTCCTCTTAAGCAGGAGATTCTAAACAGGGAGGCAGTTGGGGTTTTGTGGTTTGGATTTGTATCTTCTGATGTCTGTGGAATGTATTATTCTTTCCTTCTGGAATAAAGGAGGACTTTTATCCCTCTTCCTTTCACTTTTTTATTCTTTTTCTCTCTGTTGTCTGAGCTTCCTCCTGCTGATAGAATCAGTGCAATCAGACACACTTTAATTAAGATGTATGCTGCTAATATTCAGAACCTTCTTAATTTTTCCTTCTTCAGGAAGGAATTTTTTTTTTCCTTTCCTTCAGGAAAAGAGGGAACATTTCCTGTTTCATTTTAGAAATTTAAGGAAAGCAAAGATTTTTATTTCTAAAAATAAATAATTTTAATGAAACCAGCTGAAATGTTGGAAAACAAAAAAGCTGAACAAACAGACAAGATTTCAGGTGCAGAGAGCCTTCTTTATGAAGGATTATTCATCTATCCATTCTCCAGCTATCCTTGCAAATAGTGCTTCTCTTTCTGTGGCATTTGTATTTTAAGGTGATGGAAGCCAATTTTTCCCATTTTCACAAGAAAGGAAGTGAAATGTAGGCAAGAAGAAAAAGTAGAATATGAAGGCAGCTTTTAAAATGGGAATATGCCTGGCCTAAAACTGTCAGGGAGTTCATCTAATTATTTAGAATTATTTTTAAAGGCTTACAGAAACTTGACAAATTTCCATCATGCTTGACATATAAAGGTTCTCATAGCCTAAAAGCCCAAACAAAACCAAATTTTCTTATACAGAAGAATAAAAGAAATTACTATCTTAAGTATTTTGAGAGGTGGAAGTTGTCTTGCAAGAAAGAAAGTAGAGGTGTTCAAATTTGGGCAAAGGACTGCAACATATAAGACAGAAAAAAAATTCTGAGGACTTTTTAATAGTATGAAATTTAAAAAAAAACTCCATCACCTTCTCAAAGCACTATCATGGTGTTCATTTAAATGCATTTATGTAACTTTGATAGTTGAAATAAGACTAAAGAACCATTTTTTATGGGGCAAAAGATCAAGGGGTGTAAGAGTTCCCTGGTTGTCTGTGGCATTACAAATTTGCATCTTCGCTGTCACTGCTTCCCTGTGCAGGAAAAATTGTTGACACTTAAAAACACACTGCTGTCATTACATCCTGCTTAATTAGCCAGATGATTCTGCAAGAAAATTTTCAAGGAAATTCCCCTGACAACTGGATGTGCTGTTTTCTGGGGAAAAGTCTCTTCAAAATGGGATTTTAAATGGTTGATGCCTTCCCATATGTTTTCAAAGGTCAGATTTTAATTAAAAACCTTTAATTCACTTTGTCACTAGGGGACAGTGGCAGGGTTCTTGATTTGATGCCTGAGAAACATTTCCTTGTTCTCTAACATAGGTCAGTGTCATTCTTCAGAGTTTATGCCTGACACATCAGTTATTAAAGAGCAACTATTTATTTCTAAATGTTCACCAGTCTGAGCCACCTTCACTGAGGAGAATCCTTGACTCTTGCCTTATCTCGAGATAAGGGGTACAGCTTGTTATTCTTTTCTCTGAGATCATTGTTGCCATTCAAGGATAAACCAGAGAGACTAAAACCCCATTCTTGGGGGGAAAGAAAAATTAAAGAAAAAAACCAAAGAGAGAGATTAATCATTTTGAAAAAGAACTCCTGTGATACTTTGCTTCTAAGGCTGGAAACAGACTGGTAAGGGAACAGAAAGAAAGCTGGGAACTGAGTCAGTGGGATGGACAGGGCAGGTTGTGACAGGGAAGGACAGGTGGGACAGGAATGGACATTGCTGAGTTTGCAGAGCAGCAGGAAGGCAGACAGAGCTGGGTGGAGAGGGCAGCAGTGGAAACTGGAAGGGAAGAGGCAGGAGAAGCCTCCGTGCCAGGTGTAGGTGCCACCCCAGAAGGGTCTCTCACATTGGCCAAACCCCTGCATGTACCTGGTCACTCTAAGGTGACCAAACAATTCTCTGAATATGCCTAAACTGATCCATGTGAAGTAAAAAATTAAGATAAGAACTTTGATTTTTTTTATATAGAATAATCTTTCCAGCTTTTCAGGTGAATATATGTCAAGGGGATGCTCTGCTCCTGTAATGGTCAACAAGAAACAAGCTCATTATTTTTCTTTTGGGAAAACAAGGATGAAAGCTCTGTGTAGGATTATTTGAAGGCTATGAGTCATTCACTAAAATTGTTTATTTTTTTTGTATATTCTTAAATTATAATAACTAGGATGAAAGAGCAGATAACAAAATGTAGGGTAATTCTGTGAGATCAGTCAGGTTTTATGACTCTCCAATGGCATCTGTTAAGAGATAAAATTATAATTTGATTTTTTCCAAAAATACACAGAGATTAACAAGAGTCTAAAAACTTTAGGAAGAAATAAGTGGTAAAATTTAGTGCAAAATTTAGCACTCTGTCCTCTTGTGGCCTGAAAGATTTTCATCTGTTGGGTTTTTTGAACAGGGAATGAATCTCGTCAGAGCAAGTGGGATGTTAGGACTGGGATATTAAATTTGATATAAAAGTGTGGCTGGAAATGTGTTCCTGAGGTTGACCAAGTGCTAAAAGAGCAGGAATATTGTGTAATGTTCTCGTGAAAAGTTCACTGTGGAAATTCAGCATAACTCACACTAGATGGGCAAAATTTCTGCTCAATTTAATTAAAAAAAAAAACAACTAAAATAAAATTGGGTTTTTAATGGAGATTCCCCATCCCATTGTCCATGGGAGCCTTCAGCTCTCCAGGATCCTGTTTGTGTCCTTGAGTTGGCAAAGAGAACTTTGTCCTTAGCTGCTGAAGGGACCACAGAGACAGCAGAACAGCAAACACTGATAAATTAAGCATCTCTAAAAAGGAAATTCTGAAAGGTTCACCAGCAGCTTCTTTCTTCCAACTAATCCCGTTTTATGAAGCTGATTTCAAGACTGAAGGTTTAATTTGGATCTTTGGTTTTTACAAATGAAGTAGTTTATAAAGTAGATTAATTTAAGAGAACAACTGAGATGGGGAATAAAATCTAAAGCAGAGTTTCCTATGCAATAGAGTTAAGCAACCAGCCAGCAATCAGGTTTGGACAATCTTTACTTTTAAGATTTCAATACATTTAAAACTTGCTGAAGTGCAATTAATTTACATTAAGGCAGAAGTTACATTTTCCCATGAAAAATCCAAACAGACCCAGCTAGAGGAAGTTGCTCAGGGCCTCATCCTGTCACAATTTGATCATCTCCAAATCAGAGATCCCACAGCTTGGCCTGTTCCAGGATTTTATTTTCCTGATGGTAAAACTGAAAAAAATAATTCCTCACCCAAGTTCCAACTTGTCTCTTGCTTCTCATGCTCCCACTGTGAGGAAGAGTTTGGCTCCATCCCATCTTCCAGTTTAGGGACTTGTGGAGGGCAACATCATCTTAACTTTGTAGGACTTTTAAGTCTTGGGTTTTTCTCAAGAGGTTGGGTGGTGGTGTTTGTGTCCCCACCCTGCTTGGAGATCTCCATTAGCATTCAGGAGTCTGGAAATTGCTTTCTCTGAACAAAATGTGCTTGGTTATTGCTGGGGACTCTAAACTTTGGGGCTGACAGCACAAGGTGATGCAGAGCTACTGAAAGAGCAATAAATCAGCAGCACCATGTACCAATTAGATGAATTAGATTTCCAAATGTGATGGATAAGGGTGCTGTGTGAAGAGAGGGGAAGCTCTGACCTGGCTCCTGAGAGGGAAGCACAGGAGCCTCCCTGACATTTGGGGCTCTGAGTGGGCTCAGCTCCACAGATCCCTGCTCTGGTTGTCTCTCTCCATTTGTCAGTCTCCTCCTTGGAGCAGAATTCCTGATGGACTAATTACAAAGCTCTGTTAGTTCACTAAGCTCATTTTCCCCATAAATTAGCAATATGAGCACTGGCTCCTGTCTTGTCTGAGTTAGACTCTGGCTTCGTTCTTCCTGAATCAGGAACTCTTTGAAAATGGGACATTTAAGTGTAAAAACTACTCCTGCTCATGCTTTCAGTTTCATACTTCTTTTATGTCACTTGTAATAAAAAGACATCATGTTAAATATTTCAGACACTGAATAGACGCGAGTGTTTATGCTGATGCTTGATGTTGAACTCTGCTCACAAACTTTAGAATAGAAAAAAGCATTAAGTGAGAAAATTCTGCTATTTATAGTGGTCTTGATATAGATTTGTTAAACTTAGATTTGCAAATGTTACTTGACCACAGCTCCTTCCAGTCTGTTCAAATGTTATGGTCCTTAGAGCAAATCTATTATTTTAATTATCATGCAAATGTCCTGTATTTGTTTCCTACAAATATTAATTACCCTTTTTGCTCTTTATTTTCCAGGGAATGTATATCAAATCAACATATGATGGACTACATGTAATCACAGGAACAACAGAAAATGTAAGATTCTTTATTTTAAAATACTTGCATCATGCTTACAATTATTTTCAGTGTATCTGCAGTGCATTTTGTAATATGTAAGCTTGCTTTAAACCAAGCCACTTTTTAGTAATATCTTTTTTCCTTTTTTATGTATGTGTATCATATTACCTTTGTAAAGACTTAGTACCTTTGAACACAGACATAGAGAAGCCTCTGTGTTGAAATTATTAATAAGTAATGCTATAGTAAAGGAAATTCTCAAACTTCTGCCCTCAGTCATTCCTCCAGTACTCCTTTCTAACAACATTCACACAATTTCTCTCTGGCACAGGTGGTTTCCTTTATATTAAGTACATTATATTTTATGTTTTCTATCATTTGTATTAAATACACAGAAGAGATCAATTATAATTTTCATTGTAGCCCCAGAGGTATCAAAAAACCTGAACTAAAATCACAGAGGGTTTTGCAGCTCAAAGATCTGTGTGAGGTTTGAGGGGACACCAAAGAGTGTGACAGGAGCACCAGCTCAGCTTCTAAACATCCTCCTTGTTCCTTAACGCGCAGTTCATAATTATAAATTTGAATAATTAAATTGACTTCAACTGCTGCCATCTAATTACTGTGACAGACTTCATAACCACCCTTTTGGTTCTCATCTTGTCTTTCAGTCACTGCTCCCACTCAGGCTCAGAGCTGGGCGAGTGACAAGGTTAGATTTTATACAGCTGAGATTGAAATTATGGATTGCTGATGCCCAAGGAGCACCACATGAGCTCTGTGAGATGTAAATCCTGGCTGGCGAGTGCCAGGGCTCTGCTGGCCCATATGGGTGAGCTCCATGTGGGATATTTTAATTGATTTATATACATTTAGTGGTATTTATATGGGTTTTGTCAGTGCAAACCCATGGAAAGCCAGATGATTTGTATGTCACAATTTGGGAAGACAATTCTAATGCAAATTAAACTTGAAATTTCTTTGTTTATATTGTCACCATTGGCAGCATTTAGAAGTCTAAAAATAACTATATGTGTATCTTGGGTGCTGAAAATTATGACTGATCCATCTTGATTATGTTGGAGAGATTATGTTCATAGATTTAATTACTCATGGTGTAATTAGTCCATTTTTTTACTGTAATTCTAATTCATTTCACAAATATAATGCAGTTTGTAGGGGAAATATTGATATATTTACAATTGAAATTCACAGGAAGAGTTACTAAATTTCCAGCCACTAGAATTTTTAATCTTTTATTTGGACTATCAAAACTTTTTGCTACAACACCACCAAAAGAAATTGCTCTTTTTGGTTTTGCTGGAAGTGTAATCACATGTGCAGATAAACCAGCTTCAAAGACCTTTAACTTCTGGTGTTTCAGCAAATTGATTTTTCATTCCTTTTGAAGGGATAATTGACCTCAGAGCCAGTGTTTAATTAGCTCAGCCTCATCCAAGTCAGGAAAGCAGCTAAAAAGAGAAAGAGCCAGGCCTTTGCTGCTCGGCTGAAGTTAACCATTATGGATGGTGGTGTTCACTGAAATTTCCTGCTTACCTCTCATGCCCCACTTAAAGCCAAAGAGTTTGTTAAAGCCACGTTGAATTCCAGGGATATTTCCAGGGATATGTTTGCTCCTGGAATGCCAAAATTCCACAAGTTTCCACTAAAAGGAGAAAGTGGCTCTGGAGCCAGGTGGGTCTTCACATCCTCCACCTGAGGTGTGGGGTAAAATCCTGTTTGTTGTAGGGGAGAAGGGCTCAGGGGCTGGAGGTGGGGTCTGGCTGCTCTGCCAGGGCTCAGAACTGTAGCCAGAGGCCAGGCAGGTGAGGGGCTGGAACTGGGCAGAGAAGGCTGGGAATGAAAAACCAGAGGAAGGCTGGGAATGAAAAACCACAGAAAGGCTGGGGATGAAAAACCACAGAAAGGCTGGGAAGGAAAAAACAGAGGAAAGCTGGGGATGAAAAGCCAGAGAAAGGCTGGGGATGAACAACCAGGGAAAGACTGGGAAGGAAAAACCAGAGGAAGGCTGGAAAGGAAGAACTGGCCCCCAGCCCAGAGTGACCAAGGCCCTGCCAGAGGCCAGGCAGGTGAGGGGCTGGAACAGGGCAGAGAAAGGCTGGGAATGAAGAACCATCAGTGGGCAGAAGGTAAAAGCTGTGCTTGGAACAGCCCAGTCAGGCTGGGAATCACCCTGTCCAGGGCTGGCTGATTGCCCTATTGGCTGATTATTGGTAATCAATGCCATCTCCTGCTCCCAGAGCCCTGCACAGTGCTGGCTGCTAGCAGGGGCTGGCCCTTGCGGGGTGATGAGTCTCTCTGGCATTTGATTCAGAAATAATTGCAGTCATTTCCCTGTCAGTGGCAATTTGAGTTTTTCTTGTATTGCCTCCTCTTCTCTTTGTTCCTTTTATTTGTTTATGTTTTATGTTTTTAATCTCCATTCACAAAAGGAATGAGTGGGATTTTGGGTTGAAGGCAATGCAGCTGAGGAGCTCTTGCCTGCAGTGAGGTCATGACCACAAACTTCTCCACATCACTTTCAGTTCAGATAAATCCTTTCTTTCTTTGTGTTTGACACGTGGCTCGTGTTTATTGTGTTTAACAATTTATGTTTTAGGCTGGCTGCAGGAGATATCCAGGAGCTCAGCTACATTTTGGTAACAGCTTTTTCTCTGTGCAGTTCTTCAGCAGGATTAGAGCCAGGCCACCCCCTCCAGCTGCAAGAGGCTCCTTTTCTGCCTTTCTTAGGAGTCTGTTGGCTTGGCAGGGAGCTTGAACTGTTTCTGGAGGATTATTTTGCTTTGAAGGTTTCAGCACTGTTTGACAAGAGGCACTCAGTTGGCAGGGAGCTTGAACTGTTTCTGGAGGATTATTTTGCTTTGAAAGTTTCAGTTTGACAAGAGGCACTCAGTCCTCTCCTCTCTCTGACCCTGTATCTCACAAGTAAACTTCCCCCCTTGTCCAAGTCTCCTGGCTGAACAGCCAGCTTCCACTGGGGTTTATTTTCCAAGGTGATGTCTCAGCTCTTGAGTTCTTTGTGGTTTTTGCCTCCTGAGTGCCAGGTTGGTGTGCTCTGTGTCAGTAGAACACTTGTAAGCCAGGGCACAGTGCAAACTATTTGCCTTGAGTTCTCAGTTCTGGACTCCTGAGCCTGCTGATATCCTGAATGCCCCTGATTTCTCTCACAGATTTAAGATTTCATCAAAGCTTCTAAAAATTATTTGTACAATAGTAATTGACCATGTTTGAGTGGCTCCTCAATGGGTTTTAATCCAATTTCATCTGCTCAGAACAAGCTGTATTTAGGATAAGGGAGTTTTTCAGCTCCTGAATCACGAAATTATGAGAATAGCGTGTGTACATAAAATCTCTTGAAAAACAAGTCCCTTACATCCATTTGTAAATCACCACATTCTGTGTTCAAATGGTTCATTTAGCATTGTCTTGGAAATGCTGGAGCTGGATTTGAAGGTATAGATTCCCTGTGTGTGCAGAGCATCTTCAGTTCCCTTCAGCAGTGGCACTGCTCTGTAGAGGACTGAGCCCTGATTTCTGTCCCACACCTGGCTGGTCCTGGCTGGGTTGTAACAGATTTAACTCCATGAGATGGGAATTCACCCAGGGTATTCCAAACAAGGTTGTGACTGCTCAGCTAAACACAATGGAGCAACTCAACTGGCCAAAAGTGGCAGCTGGAATTCTAGATTGCAATAGCAAATGGAATTCTAGATTACTCCATCAAATGTTATCAGAAAAAATATTGTTCCTTGTGAATATGACCAGTTACCATTATTTGACAGCAATAAGGCTTCTTTAGGCACAGCTTTCTTGCCTTCTTCAGTGTTCATTGTTTTAATTCCTGCTCTTTCCTTCCACCTCCACACCCTCCCTGTAAAGTAAATTTTTCTCTCTTGTCCTCAGTCTCCTGCTGACCAGTGCAAGAAAATCCATGCTGGTGATGAGGTGATCCAGGTCAACCACCAAACTGTGGTAAGTATTTTGGAAATTCTGTGCTCAGGCTTTGCAGCACAGAAAAACAAAAAAGCTGGTAAAAAGTACTAATTCTTCTTTGCCCAACTATATTATTATTATTAATGTCTTTTTAACCATCATATTCACTGCTTATTCTGAATAAGAAAAGGCCCAAATTGAGTCCATAACCAGCCCAGAAGGATTAAGCCAAATTTACATTTTTCACAGCTGCTGTTCAACATCATACTCTTCTTATATAAGGAGATCCAAGAATATTTCCTTGAAGTTCTTAGACTTCTCATTATGCACTTGCCAGCTGGTTTAACTTCTCCTCTTGAACAGAATTTTGCATTCTGTTTAATGCAGGATCCAGATTAATAATGCAGAAGTGCTGTAACAGCCATGTATGCTGAATCTGTTGGGGGGAAGACACAAAAATGATTAAAATGTTGACAGAAATCTGCCAGGGTTGCAGTTTGGGCATTCTTGGATGGAGTTTTTTTTTTTTAATGATACCCATAAGCAGGTGGATGCTGAACCTCAGTATTGCAGTATGTAATTTAAATATCATTTAAATAGCTCCAGTGTTGCTGGAGCTCCAGGTGAAAGGACCACTGGTATTTATTGTTTCTTAGGCATGGCTAGTGATAAGGACAATGGTGACTTCCTAAGCAAATCCTAATTTGGCTATTTCACTTTGTCCTGGTGAACCCCATCTCCAGACACAGTGGCTGCAAAATTAAGAAATCTTTCTGTCTGTCACTTGTGTGAAGTGGAAATATGAAAGTCTGGCTATTAAAATCTTATGATTGGAGAGCAAATATTTTCTCTTGAAAAGAAGTATAACTTATTCATTTACACTTTAAATGTTAATGCAACACACAGCTCTTATCTGTATTAGAGAGTTGTCATAGTTACAAGCTGAAATATGCATTAAGCTGGCTTTCTCCATCAAACACACTCTTCAAGTGACAGATCTGATTTAATCTTTACTCCCATAGGTGAAATCCCCCATTCAGCTTCTCAAGAATTGGCTTTTTTAGCAACTCTTTCCATGCCTGTTATTACAGCAGGCTCAAGGTGGTTGATACTTGTAATCCCTTTCCACCTGAGGGCACAGGACCAACAGCTGAGTCAAGAGCCATAAAAGACTTTTTTTCCAAAAAAATCCCCCCCATAATAAATTAATTATTCATTCTGAAGTTTCTAACAAGCCAAGGAAAGAGATAAATTGCACTGGTTCTTTTGGAAATTTATTCTTGCTTTGAAATGGCTGGGAAAGTCTCATTTTGTGTTCAGTTTGGAAAATCAGGCAGTAACAGTGAGGGTTTGCATGGCTCAGAGGTGTGTGTCCAACTCTCACCCCTCATGGATTAGGAGTTTTAATGTTTTAAATATTCCTTAGATCTTCAAGTGTCACTTCTGGCACTCCTTACTGCAAACCACCCCCAGCTGTGCTCCTTCTTCCCCCCAGTTATCATGTTATCATGATCCATATTTTGCTTATAATTAGCATTATTTCCATTAGTGGACTGGAATTATTCAAAGGCAACAGCTCATTAAATTTCCACATAATCAAAATTCTAATATTAGCATGACCAGCTCATAAAAAGGGGTGTAACCCTTTTGAAAATAATGACTGGGGGGGTCAGAGAACTTGCAGCTCTCTGGTGTTGCTACAGGTTTTCCAGAGAAGATTTTATTTTGGTTACCCTAACCAAGACATTTGTTTAAGGTTGATGTTTCTGTAGCATTTTAGTAGTAATATTTTATATTATATCAAATATAAATCCTTCAACACAATGTGTTTGGAAGAAACTGTTCTGAAGATGATTAGAAAATGTCATTTTGTCCTGCCACTGCCGGAAACACTTCCCTGGGCAGAGAAAGTATGGATCTCTTTTAGCAGATTCCAATCCTATAGCTGGCTACCAGCACCATTTAATCTGATTTTGACTGAACCAGGCCAGTGTATTTTCTAGATAAATTCATATTCATTTTATATGATCATTTGAGTTTTAAAACTTTCATTGATGTTCCCACAACTTGTAATAAATTGCTCCGGTAGTTAATTATTCTCATTGCTGGGGGGAAAAAAGTCATTTTATTTGTAGTCTATATTTGTCTGGCACAAGCTTCCAGTGCTTTGATCTTGATGTATTTTTATCTCTTAAATTGGAGAGCAGGTTTCTCTTTTAGGTATTTTCAGGATGCAATCAAATTAGCTCATCTGTTTTTTTGGTTTTTTTTTTAGTAAGGTGGATAATTTGAGCACTTCCAGTTCGTCATCCTAATGCACGACCCTCGTCAGCATCCTCTTTAAATTCCCAGCTGCAGCACTCTCCATTTTTCACAGGAGTTATGGAGCTGTCCAGGGCAAAGGTTCACATGGGTAGGGCACAACGGTGGTGCTGAAAGAGTAAAAATGAGATTACAGAGCCTGGAGCTGTTCCAGGGCAGGGTCAGGGTGGATTTCTGGAAATGTTCTCCCTGCAGAGGGTGGTTTGGCACTGAACAGACTCCCCAGGGAATGGGCACAACTTTTTACTGTTTTACTTTACTTTTCAAAAGTATTTCTATGGAATTGAGAGTTTAAAAGTGTTCAGGAGGTATTAAAGGAAAGCTGCTTCCAAATTATGTAATGCAACAACTGAAAAAGTGAGAACTAAAAGCCTTTCCACGTGGAATCTGGTCTAACCAAGGAACACTCTGTAATACAATTGAAAAGATCAAAGAAAAAATAATAGTACTTTAAGCAAGAAATTAATTAAAGCAGGCAATTCACCACTGGCTGTTAAGATCATTTAATCATTATCCAATTTCCTTATTTGCCTTTCTGCTTGTTCTTATTGCTTATATGATTTTAATAAAACAGTGTAAGAAACTTTAAGACTAACTTATACATTCTAAATCACTGCCACCCTAACTCTTTATTTTTCCCTACAATACAACAACAGGGACCAGTTCTGCCAGTGCCTTGTAGATTTTTACTTCCTCTCCTATAAAATTCGACAGAAGATGCCACTAAAGATGTACTAAAGATGCCACAGTAGCACTTCTTTGTTTGCAAAATTAACAATTAATTTTTAGGAGGTGTATTTTCTGCTGCTTAGTTGAAATAGAAGATTTCATATTGTAATAATTTTTCAGCATAAACTTATGAAAATTAAATTGTGTTAATTTTCCTTTTTAGATAGTTTTTCAGACAAATGAAAATACTGGAGAGCAAATGAATATTGAGTCATCTACTTGACCAAATGTAAAATATTTTGTCTACTTCTGGACCGAGAAGTGATTTGTAAACAAGGGAAAACTGAATTTCTGTCTTCTGTTCTTTGGTTTTGGGCTGGTTTTGTTTTGTTTTGTTTTTCTTTTTTTGTTGTTTGTTTGTTTGTTTGTTTTTTGGTTTTGGGGGGTTTTGGGGTTTTTTTGTTTGGTTGGTTTTGGTTTTTTGGGTTTTCTTGTTTGTTTGTTTGTTTTTTGGGGTTTTGGGGTTTTTTTGGGTTTTTTTTGTTGTGGTTTGGTTTTTTTTTGGGTTTTTTTTTTGTTGGGTTTTTTTGGGTTTTTTTTGGGTTTTTTTTGTTTTTGTTTTTTTTGTGAGGCTTAGCATTTGAAGGTTATTTCATAGGACAGGGAGCAATAATAAAGCTTTTAGTAATTCCTGTTGAAAGCTCGATGTTACTCAGGAGCACCTGGCAAGACTCCAGGAGTCAGAATGAAGTAATTAATCCCAAACCAACAGAGCACCATAGAGCTGATGTGACTGAAAATGGCAAAGATGAACTTGGAATTAATCAGGAACAGGTTTCCAGGAGAAACTGAGTTTGGATACCATTGTCTTGACATTAGTAATATCTTGTCTGAGATCGTGTGGGATCTTCAGGTCGTTTACAGCTATCGAGGGTGTTCAGTTAGATAGGAGCATTAAAAAATTGTAATGGCTAAAAAGGAAAATGTGTCATCTGTCTCATAGGAAGAGGAATTATTTAAGGATTTCAGTTTGGTTAACTCAGCCAGCTGGGGCTGAGATAGAATTCCTCTTTCTCCACAGACAGAGGCAATAAAGACCAGAAAGAGAAACATTCCTTAAGGCATAAAACACTGCTGTGCCAGAGCAAGAGGCCACGGAAATATCTGTAATAAATCTGTTGTGCTACTTGTTTCTTATATTCTCTTGAAACAGCTGCAGGTTTTAAATGAAGTAGTTGCATTTCCACACTTGAGGTTGTTCTTTGGAATGATGGGTCCTGTGCTTTCAAGGGCATAGAAGAGAGATGGGGACAGATTTTTTAGTAGGGTCTGTTGTAGAGGGGCAACGACTTTATACTGAAAGAGGGGAGATTTGGATCAGATGTAAGGAAGGATTTTTTTTCAGTAAAACACAGGCATGGGCTGCCCAGAGAAGCTGTGGCTGCTCCATCCCAGGAAGTGTCCAAGGCCAGCTTGGACAGGGCTCTGAGCAACCCACCTGAGGATGTCCCTGCTCCTGGCAGGGACAGGGTTGGACTAAATGACCTTAAAATGTCCCTTCAAACCCCAAATATACTTTGATTCGAAGTACATGATCAGCAGCCTAATGCCCTTTCATACTGTTCATTGTCAAATTACATGCTTGAAATTAAGTGTGTCAAGAGCCTGGCACAATGAAATAATTTCAGCACTAATTTATTTGTGTGAAGACAGTCATTGAATTAATACCCTCGGTGTCTGTTTGCTGAATTGTAAATATGAGTCCTAATGAGAGCTCATTTTAGGTGGAGGTAATTCTGTAAATGTAGTGCCAGGTCACACCATCTGTGTTTCAGCACACTCTGTGTTGGGAAATGCAAGCGGGGGGGAAAAAAAGGACAAAAGCTGTCATGAGAATTTGAACTTCTTTCCCCAGAAGTTGTCCTTCTGTTTCCAAACAAAGTGCCACATGTTACTTCTTCTCCAGATCCTGCCTTTCAGAAGGGCTCAGCAAAGCCTCTCTTCCAGCAGTAGATCTTGCTTCTTCTTGGATTCTCGCTGTGTTTCTCTGTTAGTTAATGAAAATAACTATGTAAGATAATGGGAGAACATTTGGTTTTCCATCATCAATTCTTGTTAGGAGCAGCTCGAATATTAATGAGAGTGAATCAGCTACAGGTGTTAATGACGAGCTTCCCCTTCAGTGACAGAAAAGTCTTATGATCTTCCAGCACATTTTTGTCTAATAATAATTTCTGATTTCCATCTTAATCAAACCAGCTCCCTTGATTAATTCCCTAATGAGGCAAAGTGAATTACTTAAAATATGAAAAGATGATAGTCTACTTCCTTAAAAAAGTTGGGTTTGCACCAGCTGGGGTTTTTTTTTAATGCAAATATGAAGAGAGGTCAAACTTTGCAGGTTCAAGTAAATATAAATATCCAGATGGCTTTGCTTATGTATTTGAGGAGTCATGAGGGGAAACATCTGTCCTGGTTCCTGTGAGGGGTTACTGCAGTCAGAGCAGAATTACTTGTTTTCAGGTGGTGTGCAATATAGTAGGATATAAATATTTAGAAAATATTTGGCACAACTGATTTCCAGACCAAGTGCCTGAAAAGGGAGCTTTTAAATTCCTGTTGGTTATTGCTCTGTCTCCGCACCCAGGTGATCCAGTGAGCGGAGCGGGCACAAGTCCCCCAGGCAAATTCAGGTGTAACCTCCCTTCCTGCTGTGAGGGCACTCAGTATTTCTGTATTCCTTAAAACTTTTCCATTTGTCAGAGTCCTGATAGGGTTTGGCGAGGCAGTGAAGGAACTGAGGAACCCATTCCTGCCTTGTCCCCAGAACTTTCAGAGAAAGCAGAAAAGGAGCAGATGCCTCTGTCCCTGTGCACTCCCAGCTCCACCATCTGAGCTAAATTTTACTTCTGAATTCCTACCATAATAAACAGGTACAATGTGTTTGGAAGCAATTGGCAGGGAGGGGAAAAACTGCTGTGGGGGTTCAGACCACTGGAATCCTCTGATAAACACCACCCTGTCCAACAGTTCAGCTGCTTTCTCACTTCCCTTTGATAGACAAATATATCATGCACTTCATGCCTCTGCAGACACCCAAAAATGCACTGATTTTTTTTTATTTTTTTGTGTGCATCTGCATCATTAGGAATTTTTTGTAGGAATTTTTCCTACAGATCTGCAGTGAGTCATCCCCAGGCAGGTAGGCTTTCTTTTGAAAAGGGAGAAAAGGTGCTTTTCCAGCATGAACAGAGTTGGGATTTATAACAATGCTGAAATCCCTGCTGCTGGGAGGATGCTTTCCAAATCCCATTCATGCAAATCCAGATCTTCTGAATGAGAAGGAGCAAAGTCATCATGAGGAGAGTCTAAAGAAGATATTGGAGAACTAAAAAACACTGCTCTGCTGTTAATGAAAGTGGGTTATGCTTTTCATGTTTTTCTCAATATTATAGTTAAGGAGTCCCAGCTACAAAATTATCAGGTTTGGATCTACAAGATTACCTCAGCATTGTGGAATTTCCTGGTCAAGGAATTTATTGTCTAAGCAATTAATATTTTTGGAACTAATTTTTTGAAAGTTGCTATATGCTCAATTTTCCACCACATAGTTTCTATGAGAAAACTAACAAATCCTTTAATATAGACAGGAGTCCGCAGGTTTCTTCTGTCTGGAGCTCTTTTTTCAACACTGAGGATGTGCAAACACAAATTAATGATTGTGGCAATCTTAATTGTAAACTATGAAAATTTCAAACATCTGTCTGTGACCGTTTTGAGTGAATTCTTTTGCATTCTTCTGTGTTTCTGCCGTCTTTAGCATCTAAATTAACATCCATTTTTATTTATGGAGGGAAATGAAAAGTATCACATTGGTCTTTTATTTCTTCATTGTTCTAATGTTAATTTAACCTTCCTTTCTGAAATAGCTTAACCCATTTTGTAGAATTCTATTTTGACTGTATGTGTGGAAAATCTTAAAGGAGCAAAATACCTTTGTGGAGAATGCATCTTAGCAGAGCTAGAAGTCGGTCATTGCTTTGAAGACTGATTCTTTAGGAGTAAATGTCAAAATCTGACTCAAGGACTGGTTTTCAACTAAGGTTTTTAATCCACTGTAATGACTTCTCTTTTTTCAAAGCTATTTTTAGTAATACAATTTACAATAAGTTGTCCAAATTCCTGAGAGCATTTTATCATTGCCCAGTAGTAATGACTGCAGACGGTTCCCTGATAGATCTTGGTATTTAATGGTTTTGCCATTAAGGTTCTCATTGGAATAATTTATCCTTCACTTAATTATTTATCATTCTTTTCTAAAAGGAGCCCACGGTACTCTAAGGATTTCGGCAATCTCAAAATTACATCAATCTATAAAAATCAAAGAGAGTTCCACTTGATTTCTATAATTGAGTAAAAAATAAAAAAAAAACACATGGCCCCTGTGCTTTTATAAACACAGCCCAAACTGGAGGAGTTTTTTGGGATGCAAGCTGCTATCCCTGCATTTGTTTGGATGTGCCCTATTTACAATTACTGCTGTTTTCTGGTTTCCTGTGGCCAGTGCATTTTTAGAAAGTTTTCAATAGAACAGCAGCGTTAAAAATAGAACAGAACTTTTAAAAGCTTTTAAGATCCTTTTTGGATTCCGACCCATCTTGCAGTTCTGTCCCAGGTGGACATTCACAGTGGGATCCTGGCTTTGGCCCACTGTGGGGGCAGCTTGGAACCTTACAGTGATATCCCAAATTCTCTCCAGCCCTTAGAAAAGGATTTTAGTTCCAATCTCTTGGAGGTTGATTTCTATTTTCCCTTCACCTTTTTGTGTAATCAGATATTATCTTCCTCTAAGAGGAAGTCATTATAAACTCCACCTGATATAACAAGGGACTGAATGCAGACTGCTCTGTGTCTGAGCACCTAAATAATTTATTGTCCTGCTTTGTAACAGCAGTGGGGATTCACACTTTGGTCAGAAGAGAAACTATGATTAAAATGTTATTTTGAACTCTGACAGGTCAAACACGGCCAGTATAAAAATATTTACTGCTTGCATGTCTTGGTGCTGTTGCTGTTCTGGGATTCAGTGAACTTTTCATTCTCACAGGTTCGTGTCAGGGCTGATGCAGCTGCCTTGGGAAGTTTGTGTCTGGGAATTGCTGTGTGGGCCCAGAATCCCAATTCCTGCTCATGCAGCTCTGCTCAGACTTGTGGCAGTCACAGCATTTATGGCAGGTCTTCACCATGGCCATGAACTACTGCTCTAAAAATGTGCTGTGAGTGGGACAGGAAAGGCAGGGGAAAGAAAAGCACTAAAAATATTTTTTTCTGGTTTTGTGTATAAATAATTCATGGTAGATTCCTATGTAAGTAATCAAGATGATGAAGAAATGTCTCTAAGTAGGTTGGTTTTTTTTCTGAGTAGCACATCCTTTTATTTACATCCTGTAAATAAAAAACATTTTATTTAGAAAAAAATCAGTGATTTCCTTTTTCATGGCTCTGTTTGCAATTTACAGTAACTTGGAGACTCAGCTGTGTCCAGGGGCTGTACGGATAAACCAATAAATGATCATTTATCTCCAGTCAGGGGCTTACAGCTCTTACCTACATGCTGAATTTGTTGTTCCAGCACAGTCTGGCTTCCTCCTCAGCACTCCCTGTTGCAACTCTGAACCCAGACTGAAATTCTTTCATGACTTCTAGACCTCATCTTCTGATTTAAAATGTTCCATGATCTCACAAGTTATTGAAAGGGTGACAGCGTTCACTTCTGCCTTATTTTGGTCAGGAACATGGCTAAAGGGGAAAAAAAAAAAAAAAAAAGATAAAAATCCAGCTGCAGCAGCATGATTTCAGTCCAACTGAGTTTATAAAAACTGCTTGTGTTTGCAAGGAGCAGGTTGTAATAGACCTTGCTGGTTAATAGAACATTTCCTTCCCATTTCAACTTAAATGGAAAGCTTTCAAAATTCAATTATGGACTTTTTCCTTAGGTTGGCTGGCAGTTAAAGAACCTAGTAAATGCACTGTGGGAAGACCCAAATGGAGTGATTTTAACCTTGAAAAAACGTCCTCAGAATACCCTGGTTTCTGCTCCTGCCCTTCTGAAGAATGTGAGGTGGAAGCCTCTGGCCCTGCAGGTAAGGTGGCTGCTGCAATGTCGCGGTAAATCCTTTGTTCAAGAGAAAACACTGGAGTTTTACCTCCCAGTGAAAGGAACAGGAGCCTGTCCCAAACTCCTCTGAAGCAGAGTGCTGAGATAAACAAGTGTGGCAATGCTTTCTTTCTTTGATTGTTTTCTCCATGTTTTGGTGACTCTGGGAGCCACAGGAATTCAGACAAGGAAAGAACATTTACAGAAAGTTTTATGAAGAACAAGGTTCAGTGCCTGCTCTGCCTGGCAGAGGCAGCAGTGCCTCCCTGTTTCCATTATTTCACAGTCTGTCACCTACTTGTTTGTGACCAAGTGTGTCAGATCCATTAAATTCCAGGAGAACTCTGCTCCTGTTGCACACCTCTCGTGCAGTTGCAGTTTTTGGCAGCAGGGATGATAGAACCTCTGGTATTTTCTCTGTACTCATTCCTTGAAAACCTGCTCATGCAAAAAAATAAAAGACAATTGAGAACATCACAGCTGCTTCTCCCTACAGCAGGAAAAACTGGCTGAAACACTGAACTCAAAATGTCATTTTTAAAGGAAAGGCTTGCCAGTAAGCAGTAACTGTTGATGGTTGACTTTAATGCCATTTACCGCCCTGTAAGAAGTTGATGCACTTCCATCACGTGGAAGCTTCTCAGAGCTGTTCTGTTTGGTTCACATGATACATGAACGTGTTTCTGAATGATTTTTAAATTAATGAAACAAACAAACCCTTCAAGCTTATCCAGGCAGATTTCATCCCTGCCTGGCATTTCTAAACCTTTAATTCCTCAGAGTGCCTGAATCCTGGCTTCACTTAAGGAGTTTGTGTAATCCTTGCAGCCCAGGAATGCTGACAGTGGGATTTAGGGCCACCTTTCTTTCTCTGTGCCTGCCCCTGGGGGAGAGGAATGGGGCCCTGTGACCCCCAGAGGGGATTTTTCTGTCATAACACTGCAGGAATAACATCCTTTGCTCTGGCAAGATGCTCTTGTATCTACTTGTGAACTTCAGATGCAGCCTCCAGGGGCAGCAAAATGGAAATTGCAGTGGCACAGGGCTTCCAGAGAGATCTTCTCTTTATATTGGTACATTATATACATTTATATTCCTGTATTAAAGAATCATAATTCACAGGCAGCACTGGATTTGGAAGCTGTGGTAGAGTGAACAGTGTGTGTATGCCACAGGATTTGCCATCAAAAATGCCAATGAGCTCCTGAGGAGCAAAGGGTGCTTGGAGTGTCTCCTTCCTTGAGTGTATTCCTTCTATATCAGAGAATAGTGGGGTGAGAGATTTAAATAAAAATATAAACTACTTTGGAAAAACAAAAAAAAAAAAAACCAGCCCTGTCAGTGTTACTTCTTAAGAGCAGATTCTGTTATGAGGCATGAAAAAACCATTTCTAGATCTTTTATTCTTCCTGCCACAGAGAAAACTCAAGTGTGAGGACCTGGATCCATTTCAGGCCGCAGGTTTTGGGTTTGCCTGCTTCCCGCAGCTCTCACCTGGATCTGGTGTTATTTATTATTGTCAGTAATGACTTGGAAGCAACCTGATTAAATTTCAAGATGCCACTGAAGCCTGTGCTTCCTGGACAGCTGACACAACAGCTTGTTGCTGCTGGAAGCAGTGAGCTCACTTCCCTCTCCTGTTGGCTGCAGTGCCCTCACCTTTCGGTGACTTTGGCATTTTTAGACTCTAGAGCGGTGGAATTGGTAGGAGAATTTCAGGGTTGGTTTGTTTGTTTGTTGTTCTGGAGGTTTCTGCTGCTCGTGGATTAAACTGGATCCCGCAGAAAGAGCAGGCTTTGGGATAGCAGGGAGCACAGGAGGGTTACAGCGAGGGAAGAGCAGGACAGGGAACGGCCAAGCAGCCACGAGCTGCAGGAAGATACCTGAGAAACAGACTGAGAGAGAAACAGCTCACCAAAAGTCAGATTTTGTCAGTCACAAAGAAGGATAACACACACGGGTGTGTTGTATTCCATGGCCTCTTCCAGGTCCAGATCCATACATGTTTCTCTCCACGTGCTGTTTTCATGGTGCACCCCATTTATCTATTTCTGTGTCCACATGTGGAGCAATTTTTCCATTCTGATTTAAAATAGAATGGGAATCATTCCATTTTCTGGAAATCAATTTTCTGCTGGTAAAAAAAAAAAAAAAAAAGAAAACAACCAAAAACAACCGAAACAAAAACCAGTACATAATTAGGGAAGGCAAAAAGGAAATAGGGTTTAAGAACTTGAAATCATATTTGTTACCTTGCGTTGGTGCACAGCAGGAGAAAAAAATTTTTTCTTGGAAAAAAAAAAAAAAAAAAAAAAAAAAACAAAAAAAAAAAAACCCCAAAAACAACCAAAACAAAAAGCAGTACATAATTAGGGAAGGCAAAAAGGAAATAGGGTTTAAGAACTTGAAATCATATTTGTTACCTTGCGTTGGTGCACAGCAGGAAGTTTTAAATAAAAGTTTTCATGTTCTCTATTGTTGCTTAAGGCACTTAAAGAGGTTATTAATATTTTTTAACAATAATTAAGTTTAAAATTATGCCACATAGGTAATTTATGAATTATTGATGATACAGAATCTGTGGGGCTTTATAAAATGTATTATTTGGCCTTGTTGTAGTGTTCTTTTCCTTTAGAGGGTTTTCCTTGATGCTGAAATAACAGTTTCCATCTGCTAGTTCTGTACTCCATTATCTTTCAGTGAGATTTGTGACACCATTTTTTTCCCCCTTTTGTCTCTGGCTGACATGATGTGATAGTAGGAGATTATTTGAATTTTTAAACTCTCTAATTATTTTTCCACTCAGGACAAAATGTGGTTTTTTTAATCTGCTATGGCAAAAAATGCTCTGCACACTACAACATCATTCAAATAAAATACAATATATTGTATTTTTTAATTTTTATTTGGACAACTTTTCACAACTGTCACTAATTGATCCAGAACAATTACACCATTTATTATTTAGTTTAACAATAAGCATAGAGAACTAATATAATTTTGATCTCTTAGTAGACTGACATTCTTATAAAAAACATCATTTTTTGGTATTTAGGATTGCTTTTACTTTTTGAACCATATAAAAAATATTTTGGTGTTTATCTCTGGAGCATAGAAACATTTTATTTAGAAAAAGATCGTTGTTTATAGCTTTCATCCAAATTTTGAGTCACTGGGTTTTCCTTCCACCTGTAGAAAGCTGGTTGTATCTATTTAACCATAACTTTTATAAATAAAAATATTTTCTATTTCTTGAATATCAACACAGACTGAACCTTGGTTGATAAATATTCTTTGTTTATCTCTCTGTATCCTGCCCAGCATATTTGGTTATCATCCTTGTAGTCCTTGCAGACCACTGGCTTGAGCTTCTCTGTGACATCTGAATCCAACAATTGTGTTCAACATCGTGTGAAAGTTTAAAAAGTAAAAATCTTAAAGGATATTTATTTTTTTTAGGTTAATTTCTATTTCTTTGCTATGTACTGCAGAACACGCATTTGTTATCACCATGACTATAAAGCCAAAGGACAATGAATTCTGCTTTCTTAAAAAATCAAAATGTTCTGTCCTTGCTAACAATAAATCTTCCACTGAAACCAACACAATAATTTCATTCAGTACAAGTATTCCAGAGCTCTGTAATTAACTTCTGTATTAATGGCATTTAATACACTGTGTCCTTTCTCCTCAGATAATTGATTTTCTGCATTGATTAAAGACAATATTTTGTTTGAGTCTCAGATTTTCCCTTGAGGTGGCTTTTAAATTAATTTAATGGTCGTTTATCAGTTTCTTTCATAACATTCTTGAAGTCTAGAGTTTCACTGGACACCTTTTTGGAAGAAACTTCAGAAATTCAAAAAAAAATTCTAATCCAAAAAAAGAGGTCAAAATTCCTACAATCATGCACACTGATTTTGTTGATTCTTGTAGCACAGAAAACATTAACTTATTCTTCATGTTCCTTTTTGATTTTTACAGCCTGTGATTCCAACCAGCCCCACAAGCAGCTCTACAACCCCAACGAGTACGATGGGCATGTCCTCAAAAATGGACAACTCTGCACTCCAGGATGTTTTCATTCTCTCCCCTATGTCAGGACTTTACGGCCCCAGGTATTTATGTCCTAAGGAATTTGAGGTTTTGAAAAAAAAAAAAAATTTACACTTTGATTTCATTAGATTCATAAAACAAACCCAAAACCAACAGCCCCACCATCAAGCTAAATAGTTAATAAAATTACGAGCTAAAAGTACACTAAACACCAGTTTGAGTAACTTAACTTTCACTTAGCTGAGCAAAATGTGGGTTTAGCCTTAAATCAAGAAAGTATTTAAAGAAGTCTTTAATCAATTAGTTTGATTTACTTTTATGTGTCTATTTCTATCTTACTTTTGAGCATTTCTGCAAGGGAAACCCCTATATTCTCATATTAAAACAATTCCTGATGTTCTCCTTCAGATCGTAGAAAACTCCTGAATGTTTATCTCATAATTCAAGTGGCACCTAATGATGGTTTTGTTAATTGACATTTGTAGAATTGCCTCACTTACAAAGTGAACATTTCAATTGCAAGACTTTTTATTTGTAGCATTTGGAAGAGGCAGGTGCATGCTGGAAATTTCCCTTAAATGGTTCATTTCTCCTATTTCATCTTCTGTTTTCAGGGATGAAATTGGAATCATGTCTTGTGATGACATCAGCAAGTTTGGAAAGTCTGGGATGAAAGGCTCTGAGTCTCCCAATTATTTCCTGGAGCACGAGAGTGGGAAATTCTACACCCTGATCGAGGGGGAAGGACACCCGGGGGGCTCTGAGTACGAGAGGAGCAGAGCCTCGGGCGTGAGGAGAAGGGAAAAAACCCCCACCCATGGTAGGCTGCATTTCCTCCACCTTCTTGATTCACAAACTCTGCTCTTAACTCTGCAACCCCCCCAAATCTGCCATTCTTGTCAGACTGTGACCTGTTGGCTCTGAACAACAAACAGGAGTTTGCATGAAGGAATAACTAGAAAAATCACACACTACCATTTCTGGTGAGGAGTAAGTTATTTATGCAGTTATTTTGCAGTTCATACTGGAACGTTGAATGATAATTAAATTCATATTATTTGAATAGCCAGCATCTTTATTTACTCAATTTCCCCTCCCAGACTCCTGGAGATTATTCCACTTGCAATGTTCTGGGCTGTTAAACTTCAGTGAAGGAATTGCCTTGTGGTGTGAAAGTGTCTGTAAGATGGAAGGCCCTCCAAAATTCAGCTCTGCATTAAATGCATGAGGAGTACCCTACAATGCACTCATTAGTGCTGGAACTGTACTTCAAACCTTAGGATGAGGATGCCTAAATATATAAAATGCTATTAAACAATAATTACCTCTGGTTTTCTATAGAAATTCAGTGTGTAGATAAATCCCTATTGGGTATGCAGGTGTACAATCACATGTGCTTGTATACAAGTGTATGGATCTATATTTATGGATCTATATAAAAGGTGTTGTTGAAAATTAACTGATAATTTTTTTTTTTTTGCTTCTCTGTTTAAACTGAATTTCTTGGTGTTTAATGAATTTGAGACAAATACTGCTGAAATACAGTAGTGTATGGGCCATGTATTTTCAGTTGCTTTTTTTTTTCTTTTTCAGTTGCTTTATTTTCAAGGTAGGACAGTCTTGTAAAGCTTACAGATTTCAGATAGGAGATTTCTTTTGAAAACTGCAATTATGTCTGATTTTGAAAATGGCATTATTTCTGAGCCTCAGAGAAAGCAAAGACCATAGTGTTCTCTGTGGGTAGCTGCTGTCTTTTGAGATCTATATAGATATTTATTGATATATGGCAAGCCATCCGTAAGTCCTTTATTCCCCTGTTCTGAGATCTTTTTTTCTCTCATTTTGTTAAAAAGCCCCAACAACTCCCTAAGTTTTTGTCTTTGAAATTTAGGAAAGGAAAAACCTCTGAGAAGCTCAGAGCAGTAAAGGAAAATGTGTGAGTGAAGAACACAGGTACTAAAATCCTGCTGCAGTTCAGGGGAGAGAATCCCAAGAGTGGTTCTGGTGGAAGATCCAAGAGCAGCTGAAAGGGAGCACAGTGGGGGAAAAAAGAAAACTCTTGAATCACTGCAGTCCCTGATTCTCTGCTGCTGCTGAGTCTGGTGTGGGTTTGCTACCAGGGCTGTTCTTAAATGCAGCTTCTCTGCCTCCTGCTCTTACTATTTATCTTGTGTTTATCAGTTACACAGAACTTCCCTCCTGCTGCTGTAATTGCTGATTGCAGCTGGATTTTGGGTAAAAACGGCAAGTAAAATGGACTTGATGGTGTGTGTATGTGCACACAGAACCTTTCAGGGTAGGAAATCTTAATAAATCTTTGTTATATGCAGGGTATTTTTAGTAACTGCTTCAGTCATCTGCTTGATGCTTGAAAGAGCTGTGACGCTGAGGAACAGGATTCCATCTTGGGACCAGTAATGTTCACTCTTTATCTCCTTGGGAAGTGACATCATTTTAAAACAGAATTAGAATGAAAGATAAAGAGAAATCTTAACTGTGATTAAAATTGGAGCCAGATGGGTGTATTTGGCTTGCTTTCATAAATTCTTCCTGCAGGGTGACTTAAAATATTGGGCTCTCTGCCTGATCCCAGGGGTACACAAGATTTTTTTTTGTCTATGATGGACAATTCTGATTGAAATCCAGAAGGAATTTGGTTTTCAAGTCTCTGAAATATGCCTTTCTCTCAAAAATGACTGCTAAACCAGATTTTTCTTTTTAACTACTGATTTAATTAATCCGTTGATTAACAGACATGCAAATGATGTTCTACTGTAGTGGAAGGTTTTGTACTTTCTGACTGAGGTGCCATCCATCATCAAAGTGACAATGTGTCTTTCAGTAAAAAGACAGGATTTATGGCAGCTCCAGCAAACTGATGCTGGAACCACAGAGCCATGAGCAAAGAAATGAAAATAAAACTTCTGAAAACTTTCATGGCCAAGCAGCCACTTTCATTATTGCTTGGGCTGACACAAACTACTGCTCCAAAATTCCAGCCTTGGACCTCCCAGGATTGCAGCCATTATTAGAAATCAGTCTCCTGTGCAGCTGGTAGGTGGATGGATACTCATGCAGGTGATGGGTATTCAGAATACATGCAAAATACAAGGAGATAAAAAGTCCATTTTTTCCAATGTATTTATGAAAATTAAGCTTGTTTTTAACAACGTTGCAGTTCATTTTTTGTTTTACTGAACATTATACTCTGTTGTTTTCCTGACTGTAAAATGCTCTGGTCTAAAGAGTTCTTGTGGCAATACATTTCAAACCTCGTCCATTTATGTGTTAGAGGCAAAAACATCATAATTTTTTTTTTCTTTCAATTTATTCTGGTATCCTTGTACACAAAAATTTTTTGCTCCTCAGAAAAATATCCAAGCTGCAATGTCAAAATAATTTAAAGGTTACTTTTTCATTGGGAAAGGACTTGGAAGTGAAATAAGCAATTTACAAAATCACTCATTCATTTGCCTTGTGTGATTCCTGTCCTGAATTTCTATTTTTGATGTGCTGTGGTATCTGTATTTGTGTATAAATAATTTTAGAACTTCAGATCTTTCCCTTCTTTACAGAAAAACTGTTCAGTTTGGTTATGATGATCTTCACGTGCTTTGTGCCTTCCTGTTTTCTTTTTGTAAATTTTTTATGTTGTTTCTCTATCTTTTTATACTGTGATTATTTTTAATTGAGGTTTTTCTCTTAATTGATATTGTTCTTCTAAGGATTAGGAGTTGAATCCCACATTTGTAGTTGAAGGTAGTCTCAGCTGTGAAATACAATGAAATGTATTTTTCCATAGGATAATTGATCCACTAAATTTCATGCACAAAAGTGTAATATGGGCAAATCTCAGTACCCCAAGAATCACCCCTCTGATTTGGGGGTGCTCCTGGTGTGCTGCCCTCCCATCCCTGCTCTGGTGCTCGGGCACATCAGGGTCTCACTGTCCCAGTGCCGTGAAATCCCGTGGGTTAAAACCCCCGTGGCTGAATCTTTGCTGGCTGTTGTCCCCAAACTGAGCCCCAGGTTTTCCTCCTGAGCCAGTGGAAATTAATGTTCCTTGAAATGAGATTCCATCATTTCTCACCCCGGGATTTCCCAGGTCAGGGGGGTTTATGTTTCCCTGGCAGATCTGTGTTGTTCCATCTGTATTAATTCCCTCTCTACTTTTCCTACAGCATTTTCACCCACTTAAAATCTGTTTCTCTCTTTATTCCCAACACCCATTTAATGAGTGAGGAAGTTCATACAGAGCAGAGTTTTCAAATAAATTTGTGATCTGCTTTGAATTTACATGGAATTTCACCAGAGCTGGTGGTGCTTCCCTTGAGGCCGGGGTGATGAAGAGGAGGCTCTGGGAGGTTTCACTGATCCTGAAGGCCACAGCTCTAATGATGGGCTGCTCTGAGGGGTTGTGGCACACCTGGAATTTATGGACATTACTGACCCTCCAGCCTGCCATTCCTAGCCTTCAAAAATTACATTGGTTTTCCTTGCCTTGTTTGCAGGAGATCTGAGGCCAGTTTCAATGCCTACTGAGTACAGCTGGATAGGGGAGCCCAAAGAACAGAACATGTACAAGAGGGGAAGCAGAGGTGAGTATTTTTTTTTCTCTCCTCTTCTCCAAGATGTTTTTCCTTTGTTGCTTAAGGAGCATCACAGGAAAAAAAAAATTTTTTTTTTTTTGAGTGTCACAGAAGATATAAAACACCCTGTTTAGTGTCTGTGCTTTTCTGTTTCTATTTCTGAAAATTAAAAATGTGTATTAGTAGGAGGAATTTAATTCTAGTATAAAGAAACATAAACATCAAGGGAAAAAGTACTTTGAAGGCTCAGATATGTGTTAAAAGCAAGCAGTTCTAAATCTGCACAGCTCTAGAAAACAGTAAGTGATGTTACAGATGTAAAGTAGCATCCTCTGAGAACATTTAGATCAGTATGAATTAAAATTTGGAAAAGGATTCAGCAACTGTACTGTCAGTGTTCAGACCAGCAGTTCTAATCACAAACTTCCATTGATCCCAGTGGGAATTATGAACTTTGCAAGAAAGAAAAGTGATTGCACAGTTTCTTTTTTCCTTTATTTCCTCTGGCAAAAAGAAATGCTGTAATTCAAAAGAATCTTCTTCAAATATGCAACCACATTTATTGTGATACCGACTTTGAAGATTCTTCAATACTATTTTTTAGAATCTTTTAGGCATGGTCTGGAAAGCTGAGAGGAGTTCAACTTGACTCCTAAAAGTGTGACAAAAAATGAATGATATTCTTGAAGATCAATACAGGATTTTAAACTACTTTTTTTCACTAAACTTCCATTCCAAGAGAAAATAAATTTCATTTAAGGCACAAGCCTTTTCTGATTTATTCCAAATCTGTTGATGTGTGTTTAGCTCATATTTCACTGTTGCAGACAGTAACAGACTTGTTGCCTGGCCAGCTCCCGTTTTGAAACTGTGCCCAAGTTTGCTGCACATCTCCTTAAAACCATTATTCCAGCTTGTCAAATTCCTTGAAATTACACTCCTGGTGTCTGGAATACTCCCAGAGATGCTCCCTGCATGATACAAGCCAGTAATATTTTCTGTGTCTGCTCCCTTTCACCATCCGTGGTGAAATGTGGAATGGAGTGCAGGGAGAGCCCTCACAATTCCCTGGACACTCGCACAACTTTTCCCAGTTTAACAGCACCCAGTGATGGTCTCTGGCCAGCCAAAATGCTTCTCTGCTTGTTTCCTCTTCCTAATGTTTCTTTTTGCCTTCCTCCCCCTCCAACCACTGACTCTGAGAACTCGCTGCTGCGCTACCTGAGCGACGACAAGATCCTGGTGATCCAGGAGGAGCCCCTGGCGCAGAGGGACAGCAAGCGGGACACGGGCCGGAGGTCCAGGAAAAAGGGCAAAGGCCCAGGGAACCCCGGCTACCCCATCAGCCCCTCGCTGCTGGCCTCCACCATCAACGTCAGGATGGAGCCAGGGCAGCAGGACGTGCTCAGCTTCTCCCTGGCAGAGAACAACACCGTTCCACTCTACCACGTGAGTGCCCAGCCAGCACCTCCCTGCGCGGCCACAGGGACAACAAGGAGGGCTCTCCTCTGGGATGGATCCAGGCATTCAGGGTTCTCCTCTGGGATGGATCCAGGCATTCAGGTGTTCTCCTCTGGGATGGATCCAGGCATTCAGGTGTTCTCTTCTGGGATGGATCCAGGCATTCAGGTGTTCTCCTCTGGGATGGATCCAGGCATTCAGGGTTCTCCTGTAGGATGGATCCAGGCATTCAGATGTTCTCCCCTTAGGACTGATCCAGGCATTCAGGGGTCCTCCCCTTAGGATTGATCCAGGCATTCAGATGTTCTCCTATTGGATTGATCCAGGCATTCAAGTCTTCTCCTGTAGGATTGATCCAGGCATTCAAGTGTTCTTCTCTTAGGATTGATCCAAGCATAAAGGGCCAGTCTTCTATTTCATGTTTCCATGCTGTATTTCATAGTCTGAGAAAGGCTGCTCAGTCTTGGTGTCATGACAAATTTCTCCCAAGAGTCGCTTTTTCAATGTCAGTATCACGACAGCTTTCTCATAAAAGTCAGGACAGAGCAGCAAAACACAAGGCAAGAATCATTTGCTGTCAGATGCTTTAATAAAATCGTGCTCTTAATTACTCAGTCTCACTGAGTTTAGTTTAATTAGACTGTATTATCTCTGAAGGTTCATAAGGATCCTGCACTCAGCTTCTGATAATGATTTATTATACATTAATTTATAAGCTTTTGTATTTTCACTTTGATTACTGTGTCTTGTAAAAACAGATGAGTTTAATGGAGTTATTGTTTATTTAAATTTATTTCTTTAAATTGTGGATTTAAATCTCTCTGACAGAGATTATCAATATCATAAAGTCAAAGCAAAGGATTTCAAACCTAGAGAAAAAATCAGCAGGCAATTTATCAGGATGAATGAGAAAATTATTATACAACCCTGCAACAAACCCCAACAATATTTCATAACTAGGTAGATGAATCAGCTGGTTTCAGTCAGATTTTGGAATTCTGTTGATGATCTGTTGGCTCACCTGAGCTCTGATGAGAGAATAAATAGGTCATTTTGGGTAAGATGCAAATTCCACCCTTGATTTCAGGACTGAAGTTCTATTTTCTTGTATGATTTCCACACCATCATGCAATTAACTAATGTGACAGATTAGCAGTATGATATTGAATGATAATAAAGTAAATATTTTAAAATACCTGAATGGCATAAAATATCTACTCTAAAGGGTCTGAAGGAAAAGGAGGAAACTGGAAAACAGGAAGAGAAAACATGGAGTGGTTGTTCCACCCTATAAGTGAGTGCAGTCCCTGCTCCATGTGCAGTGATTGCAGAGGAGGGCACAGGTAAAATGATTCTTCATGGACTGACAGAGCAGTATTAATTCTTTTATCACCATAAAATTTTGGAGCAGCATTAAAAGAGACCTTTGCAGTCCTTCAGGAGATAATCACAGGAATCAGAATATCTGAGGCACTTTGTCAACTGCCTTATAAATATACAAGAGGAACTGAGTCGACAAATACCCAGAGTTGCTGACACAGATTTTGTGGGTTCTTGCCAGCACAGAATCATTCACATTAACGTCTTTCCACTTGCAATACTGAAAGAATTCTGAAAAGCCAAGCAAAAACATGGGCATATTTATCTTGAAAGAGAGCTACCCAGAACAAAAATGTGAAATATCAAAGAACGTTTCATGGCAGCTTGATAGCAAAGAGGAAAAGTAACAGAGTTGTTGCATTCTTAGATATAAATTCAAGTAGGTCAGCTCATTTCCTTAATATCCAAAGGTGTTACCAGGATTTTCATAAGCATTTTGATACAGAAACCCTTTTTGGATAATGAGACCAAATCATCTTAAAACAGCTTTTGCTACATTTTTATTTAAAAAGTTGACAAAACTGGTTTAGCTTTTCTTCTTTCTTTTGCTCTGTGTTTTTCAATGGAAGGTAAAAGCACTGAACTGGTGGAATCACATTTCCATGAAATCCTCTCCTCTTAACACATGCCCAGTGCAACTTCTGGATATAGATCAAAATTTCAGGCCAGATAAATGCTTTGGGAAATGGAGAGGATAAATAGGATTTTCATCATCTTCAGTGAAGGGAAGGTGATAATGTTTTGTAATCAAACAAAGATGGCTTGATGGAAGGAGGAATTGAGCATCACTTAGCCATTGCTTAATTTTCTAAGCACTCACATAAATATGTAGCAAAAAAATCCAAAAAGGCACTTACTTAACAGTAGTTTAAATTACCAGACGTAAGAAGTTTTGCAAAATTGGTAATTGCAGAGATTCACCACTAGATTAATGCTTTGGAAGGAATGTTGATTTGCAACCTAAAATTAAACAATTAGCCTGATTTCATAAGTTGCTGGGAGGATGCAGAGTTCCTATATAAAATGGATATTTAGGTAATGCAATATTGGCAGCATGCCCAGGATATGAAATGATGCATGAAGCCATGGTGCAGTAAAATATTCCTGTCAAGAAACACTGCCCCCTTCCAGGATATATTTATAACTCTAATTTAATTGATATGCAATGTCACAGAACCTAAGCAAGAGTCAATTACAATTAGCAAGGCTGTTATAAATAATTATTAATTAATAGAGTATCTCTTGGAACATGACTTTCTATGTTTACTAAAGCTTCACTTCTGAAGTGACATCATTGACCAGGTTGAACCTAAATCTGGGCTTACAAGGATAGAGTTAAAACCTGAATATGCTTTTATTTTGTATTACCAGATCTCATTCTGCAGAAAATTAACTTGCCACACAGGACTCCAGCTCAGTAGACCAGATGTACCTGGGAAATTTTCATTTTGCATTTCTGACCATAAAAGAAAACATAAAAAATCTTGGAAAATCTTCAGGATTTTACAAAAAGTTATAGAAAACTGTACCTATCCTGCTGCCCAGTTCCACTTTGCTCTGTGGCAACCAGCTTCCATCTAAAAAGAGAATATTAAGTTCTCCTTCCAGATCCAGTCTGGAAATCCACACTTTGTTCAACTCTGTGGTTTTACTGCCTCAGATTACACCACTTTCTGAAGCTCTGAAATTCAATTTGCTGGTTACCACATTAAATTCTCCAATTGGATAATGATCTCTCATCTGGTTTTACTTGGTGATAAATGTTCTGGGCCTATTATCTACAGAGTAATTGGATATTTTCCTTTGTAGTATCATATATTAAAAAAACTGGAGAATAGATTGGAATTTCTAATTTTTTTTTTGGTGAATTAGAATTCAGTGTATTGAAAAGGCTTTTTAATGAGTTTCAAGACCAATTCTTTCATTTCAATGTTCCCTTAACAGTCAAACAGAAATAATGGTGTTCACTGAGAGTGCCAGACCAGGAGTCACTTTTATTTTAAAGATCATTTTAAACATGATGGTGTTTTAGGGTTAGCCATCGTCACACAGCACTTGCTCAACTTGCTTTTTATTCCCTTCTTGCTGCTCCCAGGAAGTTGGTAACTCATCCCCGTGGCACAGGGTGATGGAAATGCTCTTTAACTGTTCCTGGAGCTGCAGAGGCAGCCTGACAAACGATATAAAGTTTAATGGCACATGCTGAGAATTAAAACCTGTGCAAAACCAATGCAGGTCTGGGTGTTGTGTAATGGGTGCACGCTGGGATGTGCCAGATGTTCCAGATGCTTTTTTTGGGATGACAGGCAGTCTGAGATCTGCTCTGGTAAGTGGAATAATTAAGATAGTCTGGGAGAATCACACGTATTCAGCTCCAGTGATTGAGGGAGGAGCCTTTTATTGCCAATTTTGCAGGAAATGTGCTCATGTTTTATTTATCCTTCCTGCTCTTGCAGAAAGAAGCAAAACTGAGCATTACTTTCTTCAGAATTTTATTTCCCTTCTGAATTGCTGAATAAATTCTATCTTTGCTTTTTATTTAAGTATCTGTAATATAGAAAACCTTCTTTTCCTACCTGCAGTTATGCTGGAAATCACTCTGAGGATGATTGTGTGGGTTCTGGCTGCTCAGAGAAGCCAATATAAGTATTTTTGACTTCTGTAGTCTCAAAATGAGTATTCCCAATTGTACTGATTGGAAAATAATCTTATTTTTTATTGGAACAGTGCACATGAAGGCTTGAGTTGACAAGTCCCTCCCTCATACTTGAAGAGTATCCTTGAGTTGCAATGTCCAATAATATTTATTTAGAGTTCTGTTCAGACCTGACTCTCTAAACTACACTCTTTATTAATCTGTAAACAGCTTAAAGGGGAAAAAGGTATTTTAAAAAGGTGTTTTACCCACCTTTTTACAACGTAAGGGAAAATAAAGGGAAATAAAATGTTAAGAAATGTTCTTTTTAACAATAATATCATCAGTCTTTGAGTTTTCACATTCATTCAGTAATCAAGAACTTCATAACTGACTTGGATCTAGGGGAAAAAAAAAAAGACTAAACCAGTGCTAACCCAGAACTCAGCTTGTCCTTGATTTCTGGAAGATCCAGCCCCTTGCAGAGGCTCAGGAGAGGGGTGGGATTTTGTTTGGAACAGCCAGATTAGGATGGATGTGTTTGCAAATCCAGCCCTGAGACAGGCTGCTATTCCTGCTGCTTCCGAAGTTCAGGCTGCCTGGCTGGGCTGGAATTCCTTTATTTGTAGTTCCATCAGGACACTTTGCACAGAGCAAATATGAGGCTGCCTTTATCCAAACATATGCAGTGTTTTCAGAAGTAATTCTGCTCTATTAGAGCACATTGAAATGATATTCTGCATCTTCAAACAAACCACTCCCAATGCAAGTCAGCAAATGAAGCATTCATTAACCTGCTGTGACTTCATGGGTAAATTGCCATTTGTAAAACATTCTGGAGTCCTCTGACTCCACAGAACCACAACACGACTAAGTTGTACTGCACTGTATTATTTTAGCAAATGAATTTATGCTTTGTTGTTATTGTTTTGCCAGGTTACCAAAAAAAGAGGCAGTTTAGATACATATATAT